AATGCTAGCAGACAGAGCTGATGTTAAGGTTGTCAATAACGATGGTTTCATAGTCGGTCCACCGCGTGTAACCGATTGTGTTCTTCAAAATGACACTCTAGTGTGGCATGGTATTTTTGGAGAGTGCTTATTTCAAGTTTACAACCAAAACCTTGAGCAAAAATCGTTAATTACCTAGGCTAACGACTATGTTTCATCTTGCTGTACATGAACCTGCCACTAAACTGAATTATAGTGTAGAAAGGGGGTCGGTAGGTAACATACGACTTTTACCTCGTGCCAAAATGCTGTTTGTTCCAATGAATTTTTTTTCTCCGGCGGGTAGATTAATTGCTCTGGAGGGTTAAGTTTTGACTGAGCAAATGCGATTTTTGCGCTTATTTCGTAATGAGAGGTCGTAACACGCATATTGATTTTCTGCGGTTATTGCCGGTCGGCACTGATTTGCCCTCTGATGCAAGAGCATTCTCTTTGACCTCTTATGAAATGTTAAGCTCTTCATTACGGCTAAGTAAGGGTTTCTAAGGTTGTTTGATTTTCTCCAAAGTGCCTCCTGGATCTGAATAATTATAAGCGATTTTCGTTTAATCCGTGAATGTAATAGTTTCCTGCAAAATTTTGTCTAGCCTGCGTAGCAGTCGTCGAAAGGGGTAGGGGATAGGGAGGAAGGGAAAAAGGGAGGGGGATTGGGGAGAGAGGGTAAGGGACTTCCTTCTCTTTTCCCCGCTTTCGCTCTTTTCTCCCTCCCACCCCACCCCCCACCCCCCCCACTTTTTGCTAAGTTTTGTCACGCTGGGTCCAGCTCGTTAGTGTTTTTAGCAAGATTTAAATTCTCAGGGATAATGATTTATGGATCCAAATTTCGAAGAATGGATTGCAGCTTAAACTGAACGACATCGACTATGGAGAATTGCGTTGTGAGCTAGTCATAATTGTTGTTTAAGTAATGATTTTTAAACTCCAGCTTGTTTTTCTCAAGATAATGTGAGTCTTTGGGACTGGAGCGCGTAGTTCCTCTCTCAGGTTCTGGAGGGGGGAAGGGGTCCTGATCCCGTATTCCCGCTAATTTTTCACGTTAATCCCGCATCCTGCACTTGCTCTAATCGCTTTCCCGGATTCCGTTTTTTGTTTCCAAAAAACATACGTTAAAACAGAGTAATTTAGCTACAAGAGCGGACAAATGTAAGATTTAGATTGGCCCTTGCGATGCTAAGGCCATTCCATACAATATATCACTTTTTATATCTAAATAGGACGAAAGAGCACCATATAACCACGTGATAGATCGTCCTACTCGTGTGCCTACTGACATCAAGTGGTTACTATCGAATGGTAAGCATCCCGTTTCCATGGATAACTGTCTCAAACTCATATTGACAAACAACTTGTATTCTTATTGAGAAAAGTACCCTAGGCCTCTACCCTTTATCATTTCCTCTAACGCCCTGAAGGTTTTAATTAAAACTACTTCTGGAATCTCTACAGCTCTTTGTGTTCGTTGTGTAGCGTTGTGTTTCTTTGTGCATCGCTGCGTTACTTCTGGTGCTAGCCTATTTCAAGTGTTCAAACAGTGGAGAGCGGAGGGGAAAAAAGCGAAAGAAAGGAATTGGGAGAGAGGAAGGTTTCTTCCCCTTCTCTCCCTGGCCACAACGTTTTTTTCTGCTGCTTTCCTTTTCACTGTCCCCACCATCTGGACTCCTGGAATAGGCTTTTTTGGCGCTAGCAGACTCGGCTGTGGCCGTAAGAAAGAACGACAACAACACTATGAATTTCTCAAGGTAAGCTACGATCAGGCGGGGTTTTTTTAGAATAGAAGGGATATGTCATTAACTGGTATGCTATTGCACCTCGTGCACTTTCCTGGCATCTGGTCTAGTGGTTAGTAAAAAAAAAAGTAAAGTAAAACTTTATTTACACAGGGTAGCCAATTCAGCTCTAAGGCTGGTCTCCATAGGGGCCCTGTATCTTAAAAAATTAATTTACATCAAGAATGTTCATGAACTATTACATTTAAAAAGCCTAATAAAAATACAATACTAGAAGGGAGCCAAGGGAAGAAACAGTGGGTTGAAACAGTGGGTCTTCTGTCCGCTCGTCTGTCCACTACCTGACCATTTCAGTTAGACAATCATTAACCAGATCATTTAGTGTATAGTTTGCTTAGTTGATAGGAAACACAACTGAACGCTCGCCTTGATGAATCGCATTTGCCGCTAGAAGGTGTATCTGAGTCGTCCCGTGCACAAATTTTGATGAATCCCTCTTCCCAAGTAGCATTCAAATCCCGTTTCCGAATCCCGCATACTATTCTCAATTGGCCAAATCCCGGATCCCGAAAATACCCTTCCACACCCTGCTGCTCCCTTGGTAACAAGACGATATGTCAGCGTGCACTACAGCGTCGTGGTTGTGAAATTAATTGTGAATGCGGAGGAATATATAGTAAGAAATTATATTTTTCCGGATACCCTTCAGTAAAAATACCCTACTTTTCTCCTTGTGAGTAACAGACGTCTCAACTTCTTCACCGGAAGTCTGCTAGTACGAGGGGTCCGCCAATATCCTGTTTCAAATTCTGTTATGAAGAACCCGTATGCTATTACTTTTCGTCAAATTCCACGTTTCGATTATAATTTCTGTCGTGAATAAATAGTGCACGACGAGATCTCAGTTACACTTCCTTTATTTCCTCTACAACACCACTTTCCTTATGTACAGTAAAATCCACACCTTCTCCAGCAACGTGACTAACATGAGTACACTCCCTTACAAAACTTGCCGAAAATGAGCAATCGCCACAACATCGCAACATAAACTTTATGAAAAGCAATAACACACAATACAAAAACAAGTATAATAACACCTACTCTTCCAAATAAAACTAAAAGAACAACAATGATAATGATGCTTATCACAACGGTTACGAAACCGAGGTAACTGCGTTTTGCTTCGCCTTGTTGACAACCTATCGCTTTCCAAATCGCTTCTTCCTGCCTCACTTTGGAATCAAAATAAACTGCAAGTTTGCGACATTCTTCAGCGTCGCAAATCCTTTAATACTTTGCGCTCCGCCTCAAGCTGCAGCCGAAAGAACTAGAAGTGATCTTGCGATATTTCCTACTCGTTCCGGTGTCACTACTTCAAAACCCAACCAAGCCGACAAGTAACAAACTTGCCTACCAAATCTTTCTTGTAACTCGTGCATAACTTACGGCTATTCTTCACATCCCAAATTACCTTGCGTCTCAGTGGCGCAATCGGCTAATCCCTCAATTTAGAGTCTCATCTGATATGACGGGTCATTATTTATTCTATTTCATCCAGAAGTAATACTTTCTCATAATTATTTCTTTCCCCTGAAAGAATAAATCAAAGAACTCGAAGATATCTCGACCTAATGCCGTAGCAACTTCGAGATATTCGGTTCCGAAGTTGCAACTTTGAAACATTCCTGAGCTGCGCGAATCCTTAACTTCGCGCTCCGCCGAAGTAATAACTTTTGAATTAGCTTAACAGTCTTGCGGCTGTTCTGTTATTGTCACTTTGTGATCAGGCAAGTTTGGACCCCCCTAATCAAAAATTCCTGGATCCGCCCCTGCGTTCCCAGCCGAGATCCTTTTTGCCAGCGCCACTTGATTCGTGTAACTGACCAAAAGGATCGCGACTCTTTTAAAAATTTTAAACTGCAATTTCTATACTTTACTTACTGATAATGTTACAGTTGTTACTGGAATTTTAGTTGTTGTTATTGTGGTTTTGTCGCTTTCTGCTGCCACGAACTACGAAAGCATCAAAGAAAACCACAAATGGTTGTTTTCTTCGTATTTTATCCATATTATCAAACAACAATAGTCCAACAACCAACCGAACCTCGCATATCATACAAGCGGCCTCCTTCTTCTCCCGTCAAATTTGAAGAAAAAAAAAACTAAGAATATTTAAATTCTTTGCCAAACCTAAAAGTGGAACTCTTCCTTATCATCTTTTACTTTGTGCTATACTCTGTGAGAATTAAATTACCTTCTATTTCCGTCTCCACTCTAACCTATACGCCTCTACTCAATCCATGACTCAATCAAATCAAATCAACTCAAATCACTGGTTTATTGTCCCTTCTGCAGTCAGAAGACTGAATTGTAGGATACCTTACAAGCTGTGGTATATATACGTTATACGTTAGCTGTGGTATAATACGCTACATTTATTGACCAGATTAACTAACAAAAAGTGAGAAACGTTCATGATCAGTCCTTCTGGCCATGGGCCTGCTAGAACTCCCTTATCTTAGACACACACTGGTAGATATGGGTACCACTCTATTGTGTATTAGTGAGTATAATATAATGGGTTACCTGGCCGAACCTTACCTATAAATTTAATACACGAGACAGCCCGACGGTCAGAAAGAGTGGATAATGTAGCTTTGCCAAGTGCAGTTTGATACGAAATACCATGCCAAATGATGGAAAGGGCCCTTTTTTGCACTTCTCAAGATAGCAAGCAAGATACTTAGGCAAGTCAGCAAAGACAGCGGAGGCGTACTCTAGTATAGAGCGAATTAGCGAGCAGTGGATATGAACAATATCAGCCGATGGAACTTTGCACTTCTTGAGTTGTCTCAGTGCATAAAGCCGTCTGTTGGCCTTCTTCACTACGTAGTCGCAGTCGCAGTGCAACAAAAGACTGTATTCTTTTTATTCTCAATTGTCTACTTAACACCAATCTTTTCCTGCATTTCTAATTTTTTTTCTGCTCTGCCCTACTTTTACTCAACCATACCTGTGCTCTTATCCTCTCTTCTCTGTGCTTCTCTTATGTCTTCTGCTGTAACTTACAAAGTCTCTTTTGCCTTTTTGCTCTAGATCTGAAACATTCATTGGTTTATTGTTGTAAAGACTGAATATTTGAAATATTCAGATTCAGAAATACCTGCAAGGTCCGTTTGGGACGTTTAGGTATGCATAAAGTCTTAGTTCATCTGTAGTAAGAGAAGAGACCCCTTATAGCTGTGTCTCACGCTCACCGAGGAGCGAGTAATCTAGTTTACTTAAATTCAAACCCTCGTTCTTGAAGTCTTTCTCGTAATCTTCGGAAGAATTTTGATTATCACCAGTTCCGTCGTTTTCTTCTGTTAGAGTACCATATATATCCTCAGTATTATATATATTCTCATGGTACTTTTCAACGATATCTGAGTCACTTGCCTCACTCAGTCTCTTTGGTACTTGGTACGGTTCGAATTGGCTGCTATTCTCTGCGTCAAAATCAGCTTGATTTTCGACGCCCTGAGTCAGCTCTGTGAAAGACTTACTGTCATCTGAAATATGACAATAGGAATAATCATGTGTAGCAAAGAAATCTTGTGAGCACATATTTTCAATCTCTGTCCTGAGTGGATGAAGTTCTTTCTCTAAGATGTGCCAAGCATCTTCTGGCTGACGGACAGGCAAATTTGGCCACTCTTGAGGACTGTGATTCTTTAACCACAAATCAAAGAGCCAAGACCTCGTTGGTTCCCTTAAATGAGATAATAAAATAATATCACTGTTGACAACTGGATTATTCCTCAATTTTTGCGCGAAATTACGACGTTGATATCATTGGTGACGAATTACTCCATATTAGTGAGTTTACGCAACAGGACGGCAAGAAGAAGAGGACGGCACTACACTTGTGTGTGACAAACGTGACAGGGCTATTACTTGCGTGTTTTGTCGCGATCTTCACTTAACAACAATGTTTTCTGGTCCTTTACCAAAAGATCTGTTTGAAGGAAAGTGACGTTTGCGAAAAGTTGTTTCAAACAAAATTGTCACGCTTGTCAAACAAGACTTAAAGTCTTCTTTCCTCTCCCGTCCTGTTGCGTAAGGGGGTGTTTACATGACCCCGGGGCGACTTTCGCGCCTGAGCGAGTTCACTCCGGTTCCCTCTCATGGCTCTACATTTGTTTACATGATACCACCACAAAATGCCATGCCGGCGCGAGTCACCCCGGCGTGAGTTCACCCCGGTTGTTGTACCGGGGCGAGAATGTCACCCCGGTACGAAATCTCGCAACAGTATCATGCAAATATTTTGGACATGTGTATTTTTGGACATTTGTTGAGCAGAAACTAAGTCTCTGAGTCAAGGAACTTGAAAATTTCATGTAAGTGTAAGTGAAAAGGGAGAGGGCGGTTTGAGATATGAAAACAAGCGCTTACCCCACTTCAAAGTTTTCAAAATGGTCGCCCAAGGAAGTCAAAGACTCGAACCAGTCCACTTCAACTGCAAGGCCCGCAAAGCATTGTCGGCCCAAAAATAAAATCGCGATACAGCGGAAAATAATTATCAGCACGATGAAAAAATAATTATCAATACTTGTATTAAAAATAATTCGAGGTAACTACTAAAAAATTATTTATGCCTCCTTGCCTGCTTGTCTTTTATACCTTTATTATAAAGAGAACCTTTGGCTAAATTCTGGGGTCATCAGTCGAGCTATGTTTGCAAGAGCGCTTAAAGAAATAAGGAACAACGATGTGTTTGGGTATAATTTTGGCCACGCAAGATGGCCGATTTATTGATTAAATATAACATCTTCAAACAAATTTAATTAGTTATGATTATTTGATTTTTTACGCTCTGGCAAAGGTGAATGCGGAGAAAAAAGGAATCCAGAGTAAATAAAGTACTATTAAAAAAGAGGCGGAGGAACAGAGGAGGAGGGTCAAATTCGCAAAGCTTGTTACGTCAGGAGACCAAGAGGAAGACTTTGGGGAACACAGCTTGTCTTATACCCTAACCTGAAGTCGAGGCCAAGTACTTTTCCGAACGAGCTCGTGACTAGTAGTTTTACAGCAAGTAATATTCCGGCAAGTAATTTACCAGCTAGTGATTTCCCGGCTAGTAATTTTCCGATTGATCTCGTGATAATCGTGTGATCAATACTTGACTATTTTGTGTCAAATTGGACCCTGCTCACAGCTCTTCCCTGCCGATTACCTATTAAAGGTGAATGCGTGACTAGGAATAAGTGCCCCTCTTAGCAAACTAACATAAATTATTGCGTGACTAGGTGACATAAACATTTTTATTTGCAGGCAAATAAATTCCTTTGTGGTACGCGTGAAAAATTTGATAACATACAACAACATAAAAAAAGTAAACAGCCTTAATAAAAAATAATTCATGCAGCTAAAAAAATTAACAACACACTAAAAAAATCCTGTGAAGTGATGACAAAAATACACAACGGGTCCATAATAAATGCTCAACTGGCCAAAAAGGTCACTTGTGATGCCATTTTATTGTATTAATTTTGACCTGAAGGGGCCTCCATAGGCAAGAGCAAGATTTTTTTCAAACCACGATGTGACAGATCCAAAGTTTGAAAAGTCTCTTCGTCGTGGCATTTTCGTCAGTAGTTTCACGTGAAAAAAGTCATGTCGATTGCAGAGGAAGAAAGAGAAGGTCAAGGATCCAATAAACCTACGAGAAAACAGTGTTTGCTTGATGTAACAGGGTGTTTTTATAAACTGGCAGCAGAGAAAGCTTGTCATCGGTGGAGTTTTATTTTGAAAGGCGATCGCACTGGAAGATCGATTTCCGAATTTAAAAATTACTTGACCGTAAACCACGGCCTACACGACGTCTCCAGATGTTGCTAGGATGAGGGAGTGGAGACAACAATATGATATTGGCAAAGCGTTCGTCAGCAAAGTGTTTCAAACATGAGCACAAAAGATCGGTCGGGTACACTACCTGTAAATGCGTACGAAGAAGAGATTGGTCCTACAGAAATCTTCAATTTTTTCAACTCCAAGATAATACCTTGCCATCTTCACTACACGAAGAGACAAGTACTAATGAGAATCGTGAACAGGAAACCACTTCCGCTGTTGCAAAAAAGGGTGATTTTGCATCTGTGGTACAAGGCTGCGCACCAAAAGTACTGGCCACAAAATCCTGTCCGTTTTTTTATCGTAAGATTTGAAGAGGATGTTTTAGCTAGTGATCCAGTTAAAACTAGGTACAAATGCCTCTGGTTCTCAGAGGATCTTCTACCCTTTCATTTCACGGATTCTGGTACGCCAGTATTGTATCGCAAGGAATTCCAGAGTATAGCATTGCCTATACGTTAAAGTTGAAGAGGGGACCGTAAGAGTTCATGAAGAGTGGTATGAAAAGACAATGCTCTTGGCATTAGACGAGGGTGATACAATGACGCCCACAGAAAGAGAATTTATGGCAGAAGAAGGAGATAAAGAAGAGCCTGAGCAGGAGGAAGTTTCAACGAGAAGATCAAGAAGAGCCAGGAAACGTGTCCAAGACGGTAACTTTCTTTTAATTTGATTTTGTATTGCTGGCTTACAAATAACAGTAATTCCTGGCCAGACATATGCAGACGACATTTGACGAAGACTAACATGAGAACCAGATTGTTGCTGTAAAAAATATCTGACACTTGAGACACTGTCTACAGTCGAAGGGTACTATGTGGATTTTTCCAATGTCTAGGTAGGACAAAAGCTTAAAAACCTGAATATATATATAGTATATATCTCAGTAATTTAGAATTTTAACCTTTATAAATGATTCAGTTAAAAAGTAGTAAGTGTGGATTGCAGCGTACGCCCAGAATAGCATCATTATATGTTAGTTAGCCTCAGTCTATTTTACTGTTTTTTTTACTATCTTCGTTCCGATTCCCAGAAAACAACAAACAAAGCACGTTGTGACGCTTTCTGTGTGCAGGAATGTCCGAATTTTAATATTTGGGGCTACGGGCTCCGCAGCAAACGTTTTGAGGGTTCCAGGCTCTACAGTAAAATAGTATTAGGACTCCAGAGCAACGAAGCGATGGGGCTCCGGGCTCCACGGAAAAAATCATAGGGCTCCCGGGCTCCGGCCACCCCCCTTTGAGATCCTGACCTTCCGAACGTCTCACTGCCAAGATGTCGACGAAGTGTCAAAATTTTATGAATGAAGATGTTGGAGCATTAAAGGACCTAAACACACGAAAGAGCACATCAAGAAGGATTCTAGCAGGTATCATCGAAACATTCTGAAAATTCTGCACTACTCATGCCAGAATGAAGCTCTAAACTTTTGAGAGCGTGGACTTCTCGATCGCAATACGATAAAACCAGGATAAACATGTCAAAAACTCACAATTGCGAACGTAATTCGTCACCCTTGATGTTATTTAGCCTGTTCCAGGCGTTCAGATAGTAGAGCGCGGCGGTAAGTGGGGAGCGAATTAAGTTGTACACCGGGAAAACGGGGGAGGGGGAAACGGGGGGGCGCGACATCGAAAGTTCTCTCTTCCTTTCCCTCTCTAGTCTCCCCTCGTTTTTTTTTTGGTGAATTTTTCTCCCGCGCTCTACTATGCGAACGGCTAGATGTTTTCAGGTTATCAAATAGTATACACTTGAAAATAGGGAATAATTTCAAGTGCGTTTTGTCCATATCCTAATAATTATGAGGATTTGGACAACTGAAACGCGCGTGAAATTATTCCCTAATTTCACTGGTCATCAAATGATTACACATATTAACATAAGCCGGTTAGAGCAAAATAATTGTTTTAAACTTCTATGGACAGAAGTAGTTCACCAAAAACTTAATAGTTAAAATAGAGCGCCGCCAACTATTACTGATACCTGCTCGTGAGGCAGTCATAAATGGCAATGAAGGGTGGCCTCTGTACAGACTTAAACGCCCAGCACTGATGCATTATGATATAAACCCAGTGAGGACAGTCTTTTGGTTGCTCCAGTGGTCCTTTGTCACACATATAAGGCAAAATCTGGGGAACAGATAGGTACGACCACGTTGTACGTCAAGTTACTTGTAGATCCCAAACTTTTGGTCTAACTTCATAACTCGGACTTTTGTGGCATTTTTATATAGCTTCACGAGACATTGAAAATATCAATAAGCTATCAGGATTTTTAGACGTTTTTGTTAACTGTTTCAAAAAAGTAAAAATCCACAGAGAAAGATTGTGGGTAACTTGATACTTAGCCTGCGTAGCTGGCGGTATTGTGTAGTAGTCGAGTGAGATTTGGCGGCGTAAGCCGCGAGAAATAGCCTCGTCCCCACTTCCTTTTTTGGATCACGGCTCCGCCGCAAAAACTTAAATCGCGCACCGAGACAATACCGCCCGCTACACAGGCTACTTAAGACTGAGAATACCGTTTATACCTAACTGATTTCGTCCGATTTTTTGTGTGTTGTTTACTAGTGAATAAAACGGACACAATCGTAGACTTTCTTCAGATGATCTTCAAGATTATAATTCAAAACCTTCACACTAGCAATACATCAGTTTCTCAGAATAACAATCAGAGACTACATCAGAAAACATTCTGAATCTACGAGCAAGAGAACAGTTTGTGGGGTTGGGTTATTTTCCAATCTCATTCCCAGAGTCCGCGTTGCATTGTCCAGCGAAAGGATCGCGGCCTCTGGGAACGAGATTGGGTTTTTTCTGAAACGAAAACACGTGATACTGACGTCATACTGAGTCCCTGTTTCCAACAAGTAGTTCCCGTCCCACTCCTCAATGGCGTTGAGAAAAATTAAAAGAAATCTTGACTGGACAAAAAGGGATTGAAAATTACCTGTTCGTTTTTTAGGAAAAAATAGGGCAGTGAGAGATGTCGCTGTTCTTGACCATTTTCGTAGGATGCGTAAAGTTCCCAGGCTAAGATACCAAAAGCCCATACGTCGCTAGCGTGAGTATAGAGTCCATCTGAAATAATCTCTGGTGCACTCCTAACAATTGAAAGCATTTATTTTGATATCACCATTCATATCAAAAATAATTATGATAAAAAAGTAACATTTTTCGTTGCTAAAATGCCTAAATACAAGAGACTATAAAGGGGACAGAGAGGGCATCCTCCATATACACCCTATTCCATAGGTAATTCGTCTTGAGTTATTTTTAACACCACAGATCTCAAGGGGGATTAGACAACAGCCAATCACATAGCGCGAATGTGTTCCGCGTGGATGACCCACGCTGAGAACCACGCGTCCTTCACAAAATGACGCAGAACAAAATGGGGGAAGACGCGGAGAGCGATTTTGCTATTCCTTTTGACGACGAAAACGACTACAGCGAGATTTCTGCGAAAGCTGTGTCAGCGAAACCGAAATTAAAAAAGAATCGCCCTTCCTCTCTTGTATAGAGCTAACAGTAGAGCAGGGAAATCCTTAACACACTGAATATTCTCTCAGGATCATTTATAATTTACAGTTTGAAGAGAGCAATTTCTGGTTTGATGTTTATTTTTTTCAGTCTTTATAGCGATTATTCCTACCCACTTACTTTGTCAATTGTAGGCGAACCCTCCTAAAGCTGAATTTCAAGGGACCATATTCAAGCTCAGAAAGAGAAATAAAATTTCGTCGTTGCTTATTTACGTCCTCCATAAAACGCGAAATTAGGCATTTTCACGTCGTAGTCGTGCAAAAACGGGAAAGAAATGAAAAAAAAAGTGTATTGCACGTGCGAAGTTGTTGTTTTGCTAATTAAACCTATTGTTTTTTTGACGTTCTAGTTGTCGTCTGCGTCGTTGGATCTTAAACTCCCTAAATTGTACAAACGACCGGTTTCAATAGACCGGCGAAATTTCTCATTTTATTAAAGCACTGAGGTTACGACAACTTCGAGTTAAACTGATTTCACGGGTTGTCAAAGAGTCCAGCGATTCCTTTTTCTCAGGTGAGCGCCGACTCATTTCGCTTCAATATTCAGGAATGCTCTCGATCTTTTTACGCTTTCATTGCCTCTCGCCCGACATGTTTTGCACGGCGTTTGGTCATGCGAAACCTCCACGAAACATCCGCGCCTCGCGCGAGGTAACTTTATCCCGATTCTAAAAATAACTCGAGACGAATTACCTATGGAATAGGGTGTATATGGGGGATGCCCTCTCTGTCCCCTTTATAGTCTCTTGCTAAATAGCATATCTTATTCTTTACATCCACCTAACGTTGGCAAATTTGGAAGATGTTTCTTTCTATTTTACCGTAGACGTTAATCGTAAAATACTAGACTGAAGATGGGGCGCAGATGTATTAAATGCAAAGACTCCGTCTGTTGATTTTGGCAATGCAGAGTTGGAGAAAATGGCAAATGTTACACACTGTTTGCGAGGACAAAATAGCCAAATAACCGCTAATTAAATAAAAACACGGCAAGCGCTAGTCGTAAGTTAACTGCTATTTGACGAATGCAAGCATTTAATGGTCCAAACCGCTTTCCATCTCCAAAAACATTTCTTGTCTTGTTGACCGCTAAAACGGCTACACAAACAACATGCCTTAACGGTAATCGCAGATCATTAACTGGGCAGAAAAAACAGCTGGAAACGATTTAAAAGCGACAAGGGAGCGGTGATCTGTCCACAGTTTTGCCGTCCTTTTTTGTGACGGAACCCTTTTTTATGATTGGGCTGTAACTAAGGGCCTACTTTGAAAAGTACCATTTGAGACCAGAATAAGTTTCCATGCTGTAAAATGACATAAGCGTGCTTATATGTGGCAAAATACGGATGGTAAACCCAAATTGCCCGGTTTTTGAGTTTGTGAGACACTCATTGTCAGGTGACCCAAATCGGAAAATCGCATTTCATGTAGGCTTACAAAATAGCTGTTATTACTGTTCTAGATAGCGACCCAATCAAACTGTAAATTACTTACCAACGAGTTGAGTCAGGAGGCAAAACATCCTGTGCAACACATGATGTACTGGTTTTATCACATCCACTGAGCAGAGGGAGAGACTTAGAGCGACCCAGTCGAGAAACCTGCACCTTTGAAAAAGATTTCCCCTGAAAAAGAAGACATATAATCTGTACTACATGATAGATTTGTACAAGAATCTGGACTCTTCAAATGTTTCATGGAATTGACGATTTAAAAGGCTTACCCTGGTAAATACGTGTGGGGTAGTTTTACAGACATATAGCTGGGACTGAAGGTTACAAGTGACAGCCCGCACATTTGCCGTGTACGCAGGACTATAGTTCACCTTCATTAATCTTTGTATCATTAGTAACTGAACAAAATAAGACAGGTTTTTAAATGAAGATATGATCGTCGCAGTGGTAATTGCAAATTAGGCAACTGCAAATAAACCCGAAAAAAAAACTTTCATGTTTCATTCCTATCACTGGTTAAGATGAACTCAACAATTTGGCCTGCTCCCCATCTATGGGACTTCATAGCTCAAGTGGTAGAGCCCTGCAGCGCTTACGTAGAGGCCATGGGTTCGAATCTCGTTGAAGTCCCGAAATTGTTTTCAGGTGAATTTGCAATTGCTTAAACTGCAATTACCACTGTATTTCCACAGTTCACATCATCTTCATTAGCCTGTTCTGGGCTCTCAGACACTGTCGAAAGGAACGCGAAAAGTTTGCGAGGAGGGAAATAGGAAAAAAGGAAAGGAATGAGAACCTATAATCATTTCTTTTACGACCGTCTTCGGCCCACTTTTGGCAAGATTGAGATAATTAGATTTCGGCTGTCAAACTATTGAAACCCTTTCCACTTAAAGGGACAGAGTCAGCTATGGGACCGCGCTGACCTGGACACTACTTTTGCCAGTTTGAAAAGCGTTTACCTCAACCCGAATCAAATGTACGCGTCGGATACATCTAGAAATCCCCTTCAATCATACCTAGTGTTTCATTCAATCCTCGATAAGTAGTCTACTATGTTGGAAATTAAGCCCCGTTGGTGCGTCCCTTTGCGTTCCGTGTGCGTTCTCTTTGTTAATATGCATAAGGTCGAGTCCATGACGTCACCCATTGTTATAACCTAGGGAAAAAATGCGTTCCTCCATCTAATTATGTGCCTTCCTCCATATATAATGGAGTGGATAGTCGTTTCTTGAAAGAACACAATAGGCACAATAGGCTTGCCTCGACTTGCCCGTGAAGTAACTTGAGCCTGGTTTACGGACCGTCTATTAAAAGGAAAATAGGAATAAGAGGAGCGATCAACTAGCAACGCGAGAAACGGCTTCCTATATCTTATTTAGCGCTAAGACTCAGATATATAAACAAAACGCATACACAAAGTGGAGTTGAAAAGTCTTTATTTCAATTTAGTTTATGTCTTTTCATTAGCGCTAAAACTCGGATATATAAACTGGACAAAAGGACTAATGAACTAGCGATGGTGGTGAAAGACATTGGTGCGTTAAGGGACTCATTCGAGCCCTGATTGGATGCAGTGTGATGGAAATTTGCATTGATCGAGATTAAAAACTCTAGTGTTTAAAAAAATATAAGTGAGAACAGTTTAGAACTTGGAAGGACTTGGACAGAGAGACAATTTTCGTTTATTCGATTAATAGTTTTTGAATTCGCTTGGTAGTCTTTTGTGAATTTGAATTCGGTCAAATTGTAAAATTCGTAGCTAAGAGTTTGTGAACAATTTTGAATATAGTTCATTATCGTGAACATAAAGGAAATAAAAACACATATACACAAAGTGGAGCTAAAAAGTCTCTATTTCAATTGTGTCTGACTATTACAGAACCGCGTTTTCTCCTATCTATCTCGAGGAAATGAAAAACTATTAAAGTCTCAGAGTTTCACGCGCCGTTAGTCAGGTAATTATGCGAGTTCACAAGCCCACCGTTGCATACAAATTAGCTCTGCAGTAAAAACCCCCAGGGGAACATCTTGACTTATTATTATAAAAACACACAAAAAACCAATTGATAATTTAACAAGGATCAATTGAAACACGCGACTAATAATTGCTAGCAATAAAACCAGACAGGTTTCTTAAGACACAAGAAATCAACTTTATGACCCTTTATTAAAATAACTGCAAAAAAGATTAGATTAAAGATTCTATTAAAATAGTCAAAGAAGGCAAGCCATCCTTTTTTTTTACACTGCGCACAATGTTTTACTTACCCCTCTCCCTTTTCAATTTTATTTCCCTCCTTAATTTTTTATTCCCTCCTCCACAATTTTATTATTTTCCCTCCTCAATGTTTTTATTCCCTCCTCTACAATTTTTATTATTTTCCCTCCTCAATGTTTTTTATTCCCCTCCTCCACCTCCACCTGCTCATTTATTCTATACATTTTTCCATCCACAAATATATCGACCTCCTATCGACCCTACATCGACCCCACATCGACCCTACACTCAACTTTTTTTAACACAGCTTCGTGAATAGTGAAACTATAGACCACCACCGCAACCACATTTCTATTGTTTTCCTCCAATACCACCCCCGCCACTGCCACATTTGTATTGTTTCCCTGCACCACCACCACATTTCTATTGTTTTCCCTCCACCACCACCACCGCCACCACATTTTTATTGTTCTCCTCCAACACCACCACCGCCACCGCCACATTTGTATTGTTTTCCCTGCACCACCACCACCACCACATTTCTATTGGTTTCCCTCCACCACCACCACCACCACATTGCTATTGTTTTTCCTCCACCACCACCACCACATTTCTATTGTTTTCTTTCCACCACCATCACCACAACCGCCATATTTCTATTGTTTTCCCTCAAAAGGCCAAAGAGGCCAAAATCAGGCCTAAAAGGCCAAACTCAAGGAGGGAAACAATAGAAATGTGGCGGTGGCGGTGGTGGTGGTGGAACGAAAACAATAGAAATGTGGTGGTGGTGATGGTGGTGGTGGTGGAGGGAAAACAATAGAAATGTGGCGGTGGCGGTGGTGGTGGTGGAACGAAAACAATAGAAATGTGGTGGTGGTGATGGTGGTGGTGGTGGAGGAAAACAATAGAAATGTGGCGGTGGCGGTGGTGGTGGTGGAACGAAAACAATAGAAATGTGGTGGTGGTGTTGGAGGGAAAACAATACAAATGTGGTGGTGGTGATGGTGGTGGTGGTGGAGGGAAAACAATACAAATGTGGCGGTGGCGGTGGTGGTGGTGGAGGTGGAGGAAAACAATAGAAATGTGGTGGCGGTGGGGGTTTATAGTTTCACTATTCACGAATTCGAAGCTGTGTTAAAAAAAGTTGAGTGTAGGGTCGATATGGGGCCGATGTAGGGTCGATAGGAGGTCGATGTATTTGTGGATGGGAATAAAAAAATTAAGGAGGGAAATAAAATTGAAAAGGGAGAGGGGTAAGTAAAACATTGTGCGCAGTGTAAAAAAAAAAAAGGATGGCTTGCCTTCTTTGACTATTTTAATAGAATCTTTAATCTAATCTTTTTGCAATTATTTTAATAAAGGGTCATAAAGGTGATTTCTTGTGTCTTAAGAAACTTGTCTGGTTTTATTGCTAGCAATTATTAGTCGCGTGTTTCAATTGATCCTTGTTAAATTATCAATTGGTTTTTTTTTTGTGTTTTTATAATAATAAGTCAAGATGCCCCCTTGGGGTTTTTACTGCAGAGCTAATTTGTATGCAACGGTGGGCTTGTGAACTCGCATAATTACCTGACTAACGGCGCGTGAAACGCTGAGACTTCAATAGTTTTTCATTTCCTCGAGATAGATAGGAGAAAGCGCGGTTCTGTAATAGTCAGACACAATTGAAATAGAGACTTTTTAGCTCCACTTTGTGTATATGTGTGTTTGTTTTGTTAATGTTCACGATAATGAACTATATTCAAAAATTGTTCACAAACTCTTAGCTACGAATTTTACAATTTGACCGAATTCAAATTCACAAAAAAACTACCAAGCGAATTCAAAAACTATTAATCGAATAAACGAAAATTGTCTCTCTGTCCAAGTCTTTCCAAGTTCTAAACTGTTCTCACTTATATTTTTAAACACTAGAGTTTTTAATCTCGGTCCATGCAAATTTCCATCACACTGCATCCAATCAGGGCTCGAATGAGTCCCTTAACGCACCAATGTCTTTCACCACCATCGCTAGTTCTTTAGTCCTTTTGTCCAGTTTATATATCCGAGTTTTAGCGCTAAATGAGAAGACATAAACTAAACTGAAATAAAGACTTTTCAACTCCACTTTGTGGATGCGTTTTGTTTATATAAATAAATAAGATATAGGAAGCCGTTTCTCGCGTTGCTAGGTGATCGCTCCTCTTATTCCTATTTTCCTTTTAATAGACGGTCCGTAAACCAGGCTCAAGTTACTTCACGGGCAAGTCGAGGCAAGCCTATTGTGCCTATTGTGTTCTTTCAAGAAACGACTTTCCACTTCATTATATATGGAGGAAGGCACATAATTTGATGGAGGAACACATTTTTTCCCTAGGTTATAACAATGGGTGACGTCATGGACTCGACCCTTGTGTATATTAATGAAGGGAACGCACCAACGGGGCTTAATTTCCAACATAGTAGACGACTTCGATATTTTACAGAAAACCTCTCTTTGAGCAAACGTTTACTCATCCTATTACATTTAAAAACAATATCCAAAGGAACATGAACAGAAGAGGTGAGAAACGAGTAGGCGCCATCTCCTTAGCTTCGTTTGCCAAAATAACGAGAGAAATGCATCAATAACATTGGCGAGAAAATAATCGTTATGTAATATTTCAAAAACGAGTGCAAGTGTTTTACCGGGGTTTCCAGACACGAGAAAACTGATGATGAAAACTGATTTTATTCTTTTCGAGTGTTTGGAAACACCGGTAAAACACGAAGCACGAGTTTTTGAAATGGCTTCTCAATCGGCGCCTAATTGTAAACAAAAGAAAAAAAGAAAGCGAAAGAACAAAAGAAAGCAAAAATCACATAAGCATGTGATTTTGGCCTTCTTTTGTTTAATCAGGGCGTAGTTTGTGATGATAATGTCCGTGTTTTTCACAACTGACGCTTGTTTATTTCAAGTGGTCACAATTTGCATTCAGTGGCGTTCTGCTAGTTCCGAAACACGGACGGGTTAGCTGAGGATGAATCTTGCCGATTTCGACTGCCTAAAAGTATGCAAGAAGAAGATTCTTTGCTTGTAGAGTCCAAGCCTAAAAGTACACAGTATAAAGACAAGTGGGCCGTTGAGGTTTTCAGAACTTGGCAAGCGGCGCGCGAGCAAAAATTCTGTATACTTGACGCGGGAAGCGTGTTCAAAGATTATGATGTTCACCGTGTGCAAAGTCTCGAAGAGAAGTTGGAGGACCTGGATAGTCTTTCCCTAAACTATTGTCTCACAAAATTCGTCCAAGAAGTTGCTAATAAGAACGGTGGTCGCTATCCGTCTCGTTCCTTGTATGGAATTGTTTGTGGCTTAAAGCCGTATTTGGAGGACGTAAATGGAGGGAATGCATTGAATCCTTTAGACAGCAGTGATAAGAGGTAAGTTTGCAGAAGTTATACTTTAATCTAGTGTGCTTTATGTGATATAGAAACTTAGAATGTTTACGAAATTTATGATTTACTACTTCTCAGGTTTGCTATTTTTCGTCGATGCTTAGACGCAGAAATGAAAGACGCCACGAAACAATAGAAGTAATAAAGTTTGTTTAAGTTGTGTATTGCTTTTTCTAACTGATTTCCAAGCACACGTGTTTGGATCTCCAAACACGCTGTTCTTTACCGCGGTATCAAGGTGCATCCATGTGACCTAAATGCGGGCACGCAATTGGTTTATCACTTGATTAATTATTAATGAGTTTCAGAAATATATTTGAAAAATCGATGGAAAAGGTTACATATGTTTGGAAAATCAAGCTTTCTCGACCTTGAACCTTCGACAATGATTCAGACTTCGTATCATTTCTCACCTCTACTGATGTTCGAATTCGGAAGTATGCGTCGATGTCAGGTTTGGCTTTCCCTGGAAAATTCCATCGGTGAATTCTCAATGGTATATATAACAAATGAGTGCTCTGATATGGCTTAGGGTCTACAATCACGATTTCGGCTTGTAACTAGTTCAAACTTCGCTACGATAAATCTTCGCTTCTTCGCTTCGCTAGTTTAAACTTCGCTACGATAAATCTCGATTATCAGAGCACGTTTTGACTTCTGGGCCGGGTTGTTCAAAGCTGGGTTAAGATAACCCAGGCGCGGGTTAGTGCAAAATTTGAATTCAGAAATAAAAGCAGTTAAAAAAGACAATTCAGTTTTACTCTTTTTATCTACAATTTGATGATTGGATGCTCTAAAAGGAATAGAGAAAATTACCTGGGTTAGCGCTAATCGGCCCTCGAACAACTGGGCTTGAGCCTTACTTTTTTTCTAGTCATACAGTGTATCTTCTCATGGTAACCCAAGAAAAGATTGGCGGGAAAAGGTACCAGATGGGGTGAAACGTCTCGACAAGCGTAAAAGAAAAATAATTTCCTATGACAAAATTTTAACGGTAGACGGTTTTGCACATGCGACCTCGACGAAATCAGGTACCTTATCCCGTGAAATTACGATGACATACTGAGCCCGAAGATCCCCATGTACGATGTGGTTTAGATGAAGGTAGTGAAGAGCTGACGCCACCTGGGAAAGAAAGCAGATAATTTCCTCCTTTTTGCATTTTCTGTCAAGTACGAATTCTTTAAGGTCCCCGTAACGACATTGAGATGAGATCTGCAAAAGATAGACAACGAGGCCGGTATTTCAGTTTGTTATAAAGACATTTCTAGTGTTAGATTCCTGCGGTTAAACCAAATGGTCTACAACAACTCCAAAATGCAAAAGGTTCAAAATTAACTATTACTTTTCTGAGAAAATGACAAAGATCCGGAAGTTAACCCTTTATATTAAGTCCCAACATCAACATAAACATTCTCCACACTGATCTCTAGACGTTTCCTTGAAAAACTAGTTGGGAGAATTTGTTTTAAGATCAAAGGATTTTCACTAAAGTCCTGATTTTATTAATTGTCATAACCCAGTCTCATGATTATGTATTAGTATTGTTAGGAGAAAATTGATGTTGGTCACTCTTGGGACTTAAAGGGTTAAGAATAAGCAAAAAAAAACCAAACGCTTTAAAGCGTCAAGTGCTATTGGTGCTGAAGAAAAATAAAAATTTCCGAATTTACCTCAGGATGTAGGTTTTTATTGTATAATATTTTTAGTTATGAATGTAAGCACGCCTGATGCGTTTGTGAGGTTGCTTACTATTTCACAGTTGATGAAATGTGCGTCAGAAAATTCCAACTTTTCAATTCGAGAAAGTTGAGGATGGTTGAGGCGAAGAAGTTTTTTAAGATGCTGGACATCTCCGCGTACGATTTTCTCACATACCACTGCTGAACCCTGTACAGAAATCAGTAACGTAAACTTCATGACTACAACGAGAAAGCAATTAAATGAATTAAAACATAATTAAAAAGTTAGACAAAATATTAATTATAACAACACAGAGAACTTGTTAAAACAAGGAAATGAAACATTTAAAGTAACAAATAAATTTTATTGCTGCGAGCTCCTTGCTGCGAGTCCCCGGGCGTGCAGCACACTAATCTTTGGCAGGCCCGTAGTTTCCTGGGTTCACTACCTTATCTTATTCGAACAGTCTCGATTTTTGTTTGTCGCGATGATTTTGAGCAAGTTTATGTCCAGCGGTGTTATCATAACTTAGATGCGCCTGGATCTGGATGCGTAGCGCGAGCTCCCCTCTCTTACTTAGCTTCTTCGATGTCAAGGTGAGTGCGTTCCATTTGCAAATGTATCTTGCTAAACTCAAACTTTTTTGTTGCTGGAAGTATTCATGAAGGTCACAAACGATTTAGTGACATTTCACGAGGAGGACAATGTTCTTTTATGAGTTTTTCAGCGTTGTTACGTGCTCAGAGTTTGCCGGACGTATTTTTAACCATTTACAGCAAGAAGACAATACCATATCTCTCTCAGCCTGTTATCATATTTTAATTTAGTTACCTTGATGTTCAAAGTTACTCTTATTGTCATTCTTAGCGTCGAATTGCAAAACAGTTGTGTCTGTATCCATTCATGATATTAGCTATTTAAAATTATGGCTTTTTTTGTTGTTGTTGAGTTGTTGCAAGGAGCTCTAACTATTATCCTTAATCCTAATTTCCTTCGTTTACTTTACATTTAAAATTTGTTAAATTATTCTGTACATATGTAAACATTCAGTATGACTCTATTAAGAGCTTACTTGACATCAACCTTTCCTAGACTATTATTATCCTGTTGTAATTTTGTAAATATTTTCAAAAAATTTCACGCGTTGTGTTTAAACAGCCTATTGTTTTATTTTTATTTTATATCTCAGCCTATTGTTTTCATTTAGTTACCTTTCAAAATATTTGCATTTTTCACATCACATGCAATTACAAAGAAGTTTTAATGTTATATAATTCTAAAATGATTAGTGAAAATTGACCAATAAATAAATTTATGAAATTATCAAAATCTCTATAGTTATACATTTACTACTTCCGTTATGTTCTACTGCCCAGCATCTGCTTGCAGCATTATCGTTATGATCTGTAACCTCTAGTATAAAATACACATAACTCATGCTGCCAAAACTATAACATCGGCGTTTTTAAAAACTGCTGTTACTCGTCCATGTTGCGGGTTGTCAGTTAATTTGGTGAACTGATCAATTTGGAATTTCCAAGTTCAGATGAAGCCCTCTGGACTGCTTGCAGTTCCTATTTTGTCTGTGGCGTAGATGCTAGACGGGATTCGAGAGAGCGGTTTAGACGAGAAGGGTCTCACAAATGAGCTTGCGGCCTCGAGGTGTTTTCGATACAGATATTTTTTAATCACAGGACCTCTTAAAAGTGATTTTATCTTCGATCTATGCCATAACATTCTAACCACTAATGAAGTTTTAAGTAAAATCGATAATACCATGACAACGATACATCAGTTAAAGACGAATTAGGCCTACTATATATTTGAAAATCCAACATAGCGAACTTTAAGTATGGTGTTTGGCAAATAACTGAACCTCCATGACAATAACAAATTCGGTATGTTTAAATAAAAATAAAATACAAATATATTTCAACCCTTAAATTTTGATCTCTGAAAAACTGTATCGAAACATCTTAACTGTCGCCGCGTGTGTGGGGGTGTGGGTGGGAGCCGTATGAGTGTGTGTTTCTAACAGCTCAAGTCGCTTTATAAAATTTAGTACTAACTGCTAGAGATTGTTTTATACCAGTTTGAAAAGTGGATGTTTGTGGTGGGTTACTGTTAATTTACGATAGGCAAAAGAGAGCTATTTAGTGATAAGGGGCGGAAAAAGCGACCCTCGCGTGTGTCCTTCTCATTCACGCCTCGTTTTATTTGCTCCCCAAACTTTTCATACGCCTGCTACCCAGGCTAATAATATGACAGCATACCAACCTGTTTTATTCTACGTCGTGGCCCATCTGGGATGTTGTCATTCTGAGCGTTGCACTCTTCGAAAACAGTTAAAGCAAACATCATTTTTTACTTTAATAACTCAACGTTACCCAGCATTCTGCATAACCCTCTATGAATCGTTTGGGATTACCTTGCATTAATTCCAATGGCCTAAACATTTATTATTGAACAATAAGCAACGTGATGAAATATGATAATTTTATCTAGTGTAACCGACAAAAAATTAAAATGACAAAAGAGTCCATCAGTTTGAATAAATAAAAAAAAAAATAAAAATATTTTTAAAACTTTCAAACCTGGAATAGAGGAGTATATATCCGTATCCGTCTGTATGTTTTCAGCCTTCTGTTAAAGAAAAAAAAGTGACAGATCGAGGTAATTAACGATTTCTCTTTAAAGGCACTGGAAATTATGGAGAACGTTTTTACGTGGTATGAATTAAACGACATTTTTGGGATCCCATTCCTGGCCTGTAGAAAGTATCTGAAGTCGAAAACTTCTGTTGGAAGAGTTGGCAGCCTTCTACAAAAAATAATAAAACCTGAAACTATTGACTAAATCTCTTAATCTAACTGAGAATTTAGCTTTACAGCAGAATGCTTCCTTTCTTTGCGAAAAAAAAACGCCTTACTAAACATCAAAAAGGGTAACTAGGAAAGGCCACTTAACAGAGAACCTGAGCCTATTGGTTACAGATCATCTTTTAACGCCACCGAAAATATAGTTACTGTATCATTCATTACTGATGATAAGATGTTACATTCTGCGAAGGCGGACCAAAACACGTACAACTACAAGTGGTGCTGGGCGAAAGGAGCAGCAATCTTCCTACGCAAAACGGATTCTTCTATGGCGATTCGTCTGGGGTCGATTGACGACTTAGCTAAGTTAAGACTGAGTGAACGCCCTGAAGCTCGATCAGAGGATCGTTGCAGCTAAGTTAAAACTACTATTATATTTTATCACTGATGCTACTATGAAAGGCAGGAACAAAACTGTAGTGAAATCTATTAGATCTACATTGAAAGTTTTATCGTATTATAGTCGTCCTGGAAATTTGGCAGAAATTCAAGGCCAGTTTAATACTTCAGTGTCCACCACATGTAAAACTGAAAAGGAATTAGACAAGCTAACTAGCTTATATGACTTAGATTTGTTTTCCTTAATTTGATCCTCGTTGATTACTCCTCTAACAGAATAACTAGTCGATATTTCGCCCCCCATAGTTTTAAGAAAATGAAAACGAAGTTGTCAAAAGATGAAACTATTTCTAGCTTTTCTGTTTTTCATAACAACGTAGTTAGCCTAAATCGTAACCTGGAAAATCTTCAAACTCAACCTTCGCCCATTTGCAAAGATTTAGGAGTTCTATTTGACAGTAACCTTTCTTTTGATTCTTCTGTAAATCATCAATCTTCGTCACTACCAGGTAACTTTGTCAAATTTATAGTGTCCGACACCTATTTACAAGAGAAGCTCTTTCATTCATTTCGCATTCTTTAATGTTCAACAAATTATTTTAATAACTGTTCCACTGTGTGGTCAGGATCTACACAACAGAATATCCAGAAACTGCAGCTATTATAGAATTTCGTTGCCAGGATACTAGATGGAAAAAATATAATATAGAACAATTATTCACCGAAGAAGAGGTAAATATCCACCGCTAGCCACCGACACTGAGGTGAATAATTGTTTTAGTATATACTAAAACAGTGAGATAATTGAGCACAATAATGATGATTTTTAACTCAAATACTGTTGCCAACAATTACAATTTTGGCGCGTAATGACCGAACGGCCGCGGCCGTCGCTTTTTCTTGCCGACAAATAAAACTTGTTTAGCTCTTGCGGAGAAATTTCTGCAAAAGGAGTTGTGAATTCTTTTTGTATTTAAAATCATTCTGTAAAAAAAGATTATTAAATTTAGTCAATTAAATAAAGTAACGCAAGACTGAGCTTAATTTGCATTTGTAAACAAAAAACCTTTTCACGGGTTTTATCGATAAATTCGAGTCAAAAGAACAGAGCTTTACCTGTTAAAACTCCCAAACCGAACTTCGTCACCTTCTTCGTGTATTTCGGGAACAGCTTGCTTGATTAGTTGTGAAATTTCTTTTTTTGTTACAGCGGCAAACCGGGAATGCATTTTGCTTGCAACTTACGCGAGTTTGGCGTCGCTCACTCGCAGGAACTGGAGGTGAATCAGTGAATAATGCAGGATATTGACTGATTGAGTAGCCAATCAGAGCGCGTGAAAAACACTATCCACTGTTTTAGAATATACTAAATCGATTTAGCCAGGGCTAAAAGCGAAGCTCTTGTTAATAATACGTGTAAACAAAAAAAAAAAATAAATCGAGTAATGCTAAACGTGGATGACAATGGAAATGGATTCAAGACTAATAGATCTAATTAGCAAAAAAAAAAAAACAAATTGCACGTGCAGCACACTTTTTTTCTAATTAGCAAAAAACAAATTTGCACTAGCAGCACGCTTTTGTGTCTTTCCCTTGCCGTTGTTTTGCACGACTACAACGCTGTTTTGTACGACGTCAAACTTCCTAGTTATATGGAGGAATTGTCGTACATGCTTACCCAATATTTTGTTTCCTGTATTCATGTCCGCTTTTATTTTTCACTGCCGCTCATTTTCACCTTGCAGGCCGCTAGCATTTCTCATTTTTCACCGCCGCTTTGAATTTGCATGTTTTTCTTCCTACGCAATTCGTCTCCTTTGTTTTCAATAACTCGCTCTAACTCTTTCTCTGTTTTCCACGTTAGTGTAAAAATAAAAAAATAACACCGAAAAAGACACGACTTTGTTGTTGGGCGGCCATGTGATTTCCTTCCAAATAAAACCTTGAGTTGCATTTGGGTTGCCATAGCTGTTGATTGAGTTATTTTACATTGGTATGCCTGTGGTGCGGACGGACGGTCGCTCGCTCGCTCGGTGTACGGTCACGTGATCACCAAATTTTCTCGGTTGGGTAGATAGACCTATTGCTGGTTGTCAGTGTCACGCCATTCAAAATAGATCAAAATAAAAATCAAAACCGTTCAATAGATAAAGTCCAGAATCTGGGAAATAAACGAAAGTACATATACAAAGACGCTCGCCAAGATTCAGGTCAGAGAAATATTTCTATACGAGATATCCGAAGAAATGTTTTACCCAAACTTATAGAGATTTGTATGGAGACGCCATGCTGGTGCTCACCTGGATGAGCTCCAACAAGGCGGACGAAAACCAACAGAAACATTTGTTACCGAGTTTTGCCACAAAAGCGTGAATTTATTCTTCGAGAAACTCATAAACATTAAAGTAATACTTTTTCTAATACATGAACTGTTTAGATAGCAAAATTTCCTGAAATAAGTCATTTTTTTAACCTATAGACAGCTCTCTTGGCCGTCATGTAAATGCCGCATCACGCAAAAGCTTAGAAATTCAAGCGTACTCTATCACAAAACCAAGAACCCTTTTGAAGCGAAAATTTTTTTATGAAAATTAGTTTTCAGCTGCTCTAAAGCATCGTGAAAGTAAAATCTCGGTAGGATCGATAGTTTTTCAGTTTGAATTTTAGTGACGTCATGTGACAACCAACAATTCGGCTAACTCAATGTTGTACCCAATTCAAATCTCCCGGGGATAAGATTCTTTGTGTATTGTATTTGCATTATAATGTGGCATTCACATTTAAATGATATGGAAATTCCTGAAACAAAACGTTTTATTCCAAAAGGCTTTGAATTGGGTACATCATTGAGTTAGCCGAATAGGTCTATTACCACATTTCCTTAGCTATGGGGCTCTGCCCACGCGCGGCGCTTCGCGCCGCGCGTGGAGCTCCGCTATGATCACATTTCCTCACCCAGTAGAGAACTAGGATGGTTTCAATTAAGTACTTGGTAAGAAGCAAGCCCTTATAACTCCCCCGTTAAAGAAAAAAGATGTGATACTGTTTTTAAAAACTTACGACCGGTTAGTAATTTGCAGTTTGTATCTAAACGGACAGAGCGGGCTGTGTTCGATCAACAGCGAGACCACTTATGGGTTTTGACCTCTTTCCGACTCTCCAATCATCGTAAAGGCCAGAGTACGGAAACTGCATTGTTAAAAGTGCATTATGATCTGCATGCAAATGAATAAGAACAGTCAGCAAGTAGCTTGATCTTACTCGATTTAAGCGCGGCGTTTGAAACGGTTGATCACGGGATTTTGCTTTCACGTCTCGAAACGGCTTGGTATCTCCCGGACTGCTTTAGCTTGGTATCACCTCATACCTATCCAATACACGCCAACGTGTAATCTTTGACGGACAGCACTCTAATGAGTTCAATCTTCATTATGGAGTTTCTCAATGATCCTGTTTAGGTCCATTACTTTTCACGGTTTATCTTAGTGCATTATTTCATATAATTAACAACTACCTGATTTCATAACTATGCTGACGACACTCAACTATACCTTGCCTTTTCACCAGGTGACACTGGTCAAGCGCAGACTATTGAAGACATAGAAAGATGCATCGAAGAGATAAGAACATGCATGCTCACTGACAAGCTCAGGATAAGTGATAACAAAACCAAACTCTTGATAATTGGGACGAAGCAGCAACTTTCAAGGATTGTTATGGTTACGTAAAGTATTCACAGGGTTTATGTTCATTTGTCACATGACCAATCTTTTTATAGGCATTCTTTCCGTTCTTCATGCATTGAATGTCCATACATAGAAAAGACTTAAAAAGACCTTTTGAAACCCTTTTAAGTTAGCGGGACATACTCCTATTGTGAACTAGCTTTAGTACCCTGCTTTGTCCATAGGCTTGTTACCACTTTTTCTAAAGGAAAAAGGAATGGGAACAGAGTTACGATCGTACCAAGAGTCTACCGTGTTTTCCTTCCAGTGGAGGAGGGTCAGTTCTTGGATAGTCAACATCAGCTACAAGATAAAATGTCTACAAATTAATAAGGCAATTTCGTAAAAGCACCATATTTTTCGAGGGTAAGTCTTTCACCAGTTCATTATTAATATTTATCGCAGTAATATAGCCGATGAAATATCCATTTTTAAATTAAGATCATCTTTACCTCTCCTATCCTAGATCTTAAGCAAAATCTTTTTTAACGTTGCTTTCATTGCTTTTGTCCACATAGTAAATGGTTTGAAGTATGGTATTATTTCAGCCTTCAACAGTACACTGTAATTACGTATTTACAATCCGAGCATGGGTCGGATGTGAAATAAAAAGTTAAAGGAAGACCACGAATCATCGGAAAAACCTTTGTCAGTCTTGTGTGAACTTTCGGAGTGAATATTGTGGGATCCCACCAGACGGCCACTGTGATTTGCCGAGCAGGGTTTGGAACGTTCCTTACAATCCCAGGCCCCCCATTACAGGCCCCGTACAATATCAGGCCCCCCATATCAGGCCCCCCATTCCAAGCCCTCCCATATCAAACCCCCATTTCAGGCCCCTTACCATATCAGGCCCCCCCACATCAGGCCCCCATTCCCATATCAAACCCCCCATCCTAGGCCCACCATTCTAAGCCCCGACGATCAATACGAGGCCCCATGTTAATAATTATAACAAGACTAATAATGAAAATACTAATGATAACGATAATATTAATAACAATAATCAATAATAATGTTAATACTAAAACTCTTAATGGCAAAGCGAGTGAGAGTGCCGGAAGCCAGAAGTTTATTTATTAAAAATGTTATGCTTGCGCCATGCGTCACGCCGAGTATTTATTGTTCTGTTCTCTCTTTTTTTATTTTGATTGTTGTTGTTGCTTTTAGTAGTTGCCTTGTGATTGCTTTGCAAAAAGGCATGAAAGTGCTAGTATCAATAAAATTTCAAGACTACTTCACTACCCTATTTGCATTCTGTTCTAGGTAAATCAATCTTTTGTAGATGAGGACGTCACTCTGATACCCCGTTAACAGGATTATAATCGTTTTTTACCTGCACCAGAATTGAAAGACTAGAGATGCCCTAATTATTTTCGACTTAACAATTTTGTAGAAAAAAGTGCATGGGTTAAGTTCGTTTGAACCTTGTGACCTAAGAAAAAATTACTTTATTTTTGTGACAAGCTATTACGGTCAGTGGGGAACGTTTGGTGGAAACCTTTTGGTTGGGTTTAATACGTGCTTCTTGCATGATAAATTACACTCGCTGTACACTGATAACCCGATAACCGATGAGAGAAAGATTAATTGCAACGGAATTGCAATGACGTCAGGAGCAAATAAAATTGATTTGATAACGTTGGTCCTATGTCGGTCCCGTATCCGGTTCGGCCGTGTTATGGGCTCGAAAATCCTTCAATAAGAATGAGCGAGACCAGGTTTTTTTTTTAGCATGCAAGACTAAGCCCCCAGCCAAATCCATGTCTTCACTAAAACGGCTGGACGCACGACCTGGTTGAGGTCATTGTTATCTAAGGTCTTCCTAAGTCTTCCTGAATACGTACAATATTCTTTCAACAAGCCTACGCCCTACCCTTGCCCGGCCCCCGCTTTCGCACGAAAGGAGATCGAGAAAAATTGACCCTCGAAACCACACTAGATATCAGACGTTTCTTTTCTTTTCTGTTATTTTCTGTCAGTGTTCTGTCATTTTTTTCCTTGCGGTAAACATTGCCTGAAAAGCCTACCCTTTAATATATTTCAACTAGTGAAACCCATATCCTTTCCTATACCTGAAGACTTAAAAACGAACTCCTTTGGGTTCGGTTAAGGCCTCCCCATAAAGGCTGTCACCGGGAGCTTCCCCGGATTTCCCAGATGCCCGATGTTAATTAAGTACGTTGTGTACGTACAATGTCAAACCCCACGCTTAGAGAGAGATAAAACACAAATTGTGTGGCCTTAAATAAAAGAACAGGCCTCATCCTTCAACTGAAGGAGGAGTAAGCTAATGCAGATATGGCAAAAACAAGACCTTTTAGAACAGAAGCTCCTTTAACAAGAAAATCGCAACAAAGACCTTCGCATAAAACACAACCTAACTAGGATCAAGCATACAACTACCCCATTGGTCAAATCATATTGACCAACAGAAAACCTCTATTTTCGATCCTACCTACGAGCACAAATTGAGCAACGAACACCATCACATTGCCATTTCTACATAACCTAACATAGTAGCAACTGATGAGGTCCACTGAAAGGACCGAAACTCGAGTCTTGCTTGAGAATTTACTCTCGAAATCATCATAGCAGAAAACACACTAGTAAACGAAGAACGACTTCTTACAACAAGCCCTTCAATACTCGCTGATATAGCCAACGATCCTGCAGAAGATAGCCTATTAGCTTCGGATGACGAAGACATACCGTGTGGACAAATGTCAACAGAAAGGCGCAAAAACACAAACCTTAAAGAAAATGGGGATCAGCCATTGAAAAGAAACAGAAAGACTAACAATACTGTGAGAAGAAACGGCGACCCCACAGAGGCCAAAAGACTAAACGTGAAAAAACCAAACACCAACGATCAGAGAAAATGGCGCCAAGTCCAAATACCACGCAAAACGGGTCCACAGAAACGTCATCATGATGACTCTCGTGAACAGAAAGAACACATACCTTTTAAAAAACAGCGCCTTACTACAGAAGAGCTTGAAAACACCATTAAGGACAAGATACAAAAGTCCAAAGAATCCATCGCCAAACTGAAGAAACATATTGAGAATAATACATGTCCAAAAACTTTGCGTTATAAGGCAAGGGCAAACATTGCCCCGGACGAAGAATTCAAACGAGACATAAGCTGGATTAGAAAAGACGCAGAACGAAAAGTTTTAGGCGCACTCGTTAAGTTTCACGACCGTAGAGTCGAAAGAAGCAAATCTAAACTTGTAAAACTAGAGCAGGAATCACGCAAAGAAAAGAGGAAAGACATGTCAGATAAGGTACCATCTAATACTCTAGAATGCAGTCACGAACAGAAACTAGAGAATATCCAGAAGAAAATAGACGAACTCAACAAACTGAAGTATGTCTTACAAAATGCTAAAGAGAATAAACAAAGTGAATCTTATCCCAGAGTGTTTTCTGAGAATAAAGATTATCTAAAAAGGGAAAGAGGAAAGAAAAAGCGGTCATTGTCAACCAAAAAACGCAATGAACGGAGGCGAAAAATAGCGCGTGATAAGAACATAGCAGAAGCAAGAAAGAAACATATCAAAAACCTCTCAGATTACAAAATGACACGCGATCAGATAAATGTTCTGTCAAGGGGTCTTAAATTCATCCCCACACCAGTGACAAACACAGGTCACGTTAGAGCAGAACTATTAAAAGATTTCAACGCTTTCGCTAGACGAATGCGTCTACTATATATCTTTCATGGAAAAGATAAAGAGCAACACCCCTTTCATGTAAAGTCAGACTGGGAGCCACCAGTTCAGCCATCAGTCGCACTAGAAACATACCTAGAAGAGGTTAAATTAGAACTTGCTAATATAAATACAATCACGCCTAGAAACAATCTACCCAAGAGGGAACAACTTGCCATTAAACAACTGAAACAAAACTCGGACATCAACATTAAACGAGCAGATCATAAAGGCTCTTCTATTGTTGTTCTCAACAAAGAAGACAAAATAAAGAAGGTCAAATACAATTAGATGACAGAGAAAACTACAAACCCTTACAAACACCAATGGTAGTAGAAACCTCTAAAAGGGTCAAGAAATTGATAGATAAGCTTTACAAAGAGAAACATATAGACGAGATGAGAAGACGATGGCTATCCCTGACGCCAAATCCACCGCGAATACCACAATTCTACACTCTCACAAAGATTCACACACCAACACCAGTTGGAAGACCGATCATATCAGGCTGCGAAGGCCCGACGGAAAGCATCTCATCATTTGTTGATAGTCTCCTCCAACCAATTGCTAAATCACAAAAATCGCATCTTAAAGATACGACAGACTTTATCAACTTGATAGAGAAAACCAGGGTCTTAGAAAATGCTATTTTAGTCTCTATGGATGTAACTAGCCTATACACAAACATCCCTCAGGAGGAAGGAAATACCATTATACGCAAAGCATACGAAACATTCTAGCAAAACAAACCTCCAATACCCAGCCAATACCTCGCAGATATTCACAGACTAATCCTAAGGGAGAATTCTTTCCAATTTGTTAGAAAAGACTACCTCCAAGTACAAGGTACAGCTATGGGAACAACAATGGCAGTTGTATTTGCTAACATTTTTATGTCTGCAATAGAAACAGAAATTATTAACAAAAGTCCACACAAACCACAAGTGTGGAAGAGATTTATCGATGACATATTCTCATTGTGGAATGTAGACAAAGAAGAAATATACTCATTCATCGAACAAGCAAATAACCATCACCCGACCGTAAAATTTACTGCTGAAGTTTCAGAAACAGAAACCGCCTTTCTGTATACATGTAATTACAAAGGAGAAAGATTTAAGAAGGAATCAATCCTAGATGTGCGTACACACTTCAAACCGACAGAAACTTTCCAATCAATACACGTACTTCTCTTCATGTCACCCCCCAGGGGTAAAGAAAGGATTCATAAAAGGCGAGGCCTTAAGATTACTCAGAACAAACTCTTCTGAGAAAATGTTCGAAGAGAACATAACTAATTTCAAGGGAAGACTCCGTATGAGGGGTTATAGAGATAAAGTGATAGATAAACAACTATCAGAAGTCAAGCATCACGAAAGAATGTCGGCTTTGCAAAACAAAACAAAAACGCACAAGAAAATACTACCATTCGTGACAGAATATCGCCCCTCAGTACCGAATCGAAAAAAAATCATCATGCACGAATGGTATCTTATAGAAAACCAACCGTTGCTTAGAGAAATCTTTAAAGACCCTCCCATAATATCTTACAAAAGAGGAAAGTCACTACAAGATATACTCGTAAGAGCTAAACTATGAAGGTAAGGTCAAAGCAACAACAACTGAACCAAAGATAGACGTGAAAAGCCTGTCAACATTATGAACAACTCAAACTATGAAGCTTAAAGGTCAAAGATATACAACAAGTTGGCCAAAGGGAGTCGTGTATGGCCTGTCAACATTATGAGTCATGTATCACGCTTCTTTGTACGTGCATTTTTTGCCGCTACTGCACGACTATGACGTGTGCTAGGAAGCGCCTACTTTCATTCAAAGCTTAAAGAAAGTATGCTAACATTTCACTAATTGAACGGGGGGAAAGTCGAAAAAGCGAGAAAAAATTTTGTAAAAGCCGCGACTTCACTTTTTGAGTGACGATTTTGTAGCAGCCGCTGCCTCCGTGTATTGTTGGTTAAGATTCCTAGGAGTACTCTACATACAGTCCTTATATTTTCAGTCAATTTCAAGAAATGTTAATAAAGGGTTAACGTCGTCCGTTTCATGTTAGGTCCATGGAACTGACAGTTGATGATCAATAAAAGTATGCAAAGATGGGGCGGAATGCAAGTATCATACACACTTCACGTAAAGGGAAGCAAGATATTACAGATCAATATTTATTTAAGAAAAAATTACAAAAAAGAACTTTATCAATATACAGGGATGAAAACTGAGTTTGATAGGGAAGGAAACAAATTATGCATTATGCGTTAGAAAGTTAGAATTACATTTTCCGTTGAAAGATTATTACATTTTGCGTTAAAAATGTTATTACATTTTGGGGCGATTCTTAGTGCATCTTGCGTTAGTAATGCAATTTTCGGCGATTATTACATTTCGCGGCGTAGTAGTGGTGTCATGTAACAAAGTCGTAGTAGTAACAAACCATGGTGTTACAGCTTCTGGGGGCGTGACCAGAACTGATTTGACCTTTGCTCCAAGCAGGAAAATAAAAAGCTAAAATCGATACACAATGAACAGTTTGAAAAGGACACAAAAGAGTTGTAATGTTATGTGGTGATTAAAAGTGGAATAAACAACGCACGTTTAAATTTGCTTGGGCCCTTTTATTCCAAACTATCAATATTCCTGTCTTCATTTACAAAGTCTTTGAGCTAAATTACACCGGATCTTGTGCGCAAGGAAAATATAATTTTGAACATGCCAATAAGAGATTTTCTCGACTTGTAGAAAATTCCCTGACCTTGATTTTTTTTTTTTGCTTTACCTTGACACGTCCTTACACGACACTCTGTATATGTTGCTACAAGCAATGAAAGTTAGATTGTTAATATTAAACATTTTGGTACATATTTCCCCAATTATTAACAAAATAATAACACGTTTTAAAATTTCCCTGTTATTCTCGACATTATTATTATTGGCCGCTCACACGACAGACGAGCGGATTATTCGGATAAATGGCGTCAGACAAATAATTTGTCTTGATGTGAAAACGGAACGGTTACTTAAATTAAATTTGGGACTAATAATCTGTCTGACCTTAACTGTCTGCCGTTATCCGTCAAGAAGGATAGTTAACCCGCCTCTTTTGTGAAACAAAATCGAAATATAAGTGAATTACCGGAAACCTAGCTTAATATACATGGGGCCTGATATGGTAGTTCGTGGCCTGATATGGTAGGTCGGGGCCTGCCTGGGGCCTGATATGGGGGGTGTAATATGGTATGGAACGTTCCAACCTTAGTAGGATTTGCCCCGGCGAAATCAGATGATCTTTAGTTTTCTTTTAACATTCTGTAAATTTCATTAAAGGGACTGTATTTTTTATCAAATAAAACAGAACAACGTGAAATATGTTCGCCCAGGTGAGTGTAATCCTAAACAGGACTGTTGTTAACAGTGACTGATGACGTTTTGACAACCTGTGCGATGGTCAAAGTGAGGGTGAAAGTGAGTTGTCTCTCGTCAGTTTATGGCTCTACAATCTGGTTTTTGACTTCATTGGCCGATCAAGTCATGGTATCATTGGTCATTTACCTAATTATGCTAAGAAATGCACGCGACAAAGAAAAAGACAATTGTGGCAAAAATTTGCCCGGGGTTTAGGGAAGATTTAGAGTGTGGTGTCAAAAGGCAACCTTTGTAAAGTGGAGATTTTGACGAAAATGACGAATCTGACCGTCAAAAACGGTGAATTTGAGGAAAACGGCAAATCTGGCAAAGATTTTCCAAGGGTTTAGCCAATATTCAAATGAGATCATAAGAAAGGAGTACCTTGCAAAGTGGCGAATTTAACGAAAATGTCGAATCTGACGAAAGTGGTTAATATGGCTGAAGTAGACAAGGGTTTGGCGAATATTCAAATGAGATGGCAAAAGGGGCTCTTAGTAAAGTGGCGATTGTTATGAAAATTGCTAGACTGGCGAACATGGTAAGAGTGGCGAAAACTAGAGACAGAGTGATGAATTTTAACCAAGGCCACTTTTGGCAGGGTAAAGTCTCGTGTGCGACTGCCTCCATTTCACAAATTATCATGCACCTATACATACATTAGACCGCTTAGTCTGAAATGTCACTTGTCTCTACCCCCTAACCCGAGGCCGCGCCCTCCACAGGTTAGGGGGTGGAGTGGTATGACATTTCAGACTATGGACCACTCTGCTTCATTTTGTTTGAGTTTTCTCTTGCTCAGCAAATTCTCCAGGTCTTGAATTTAGTGCTTTCTATAAAATTCGCATTCTGGTTTGTGCATTAGACAGCCAACTCCGGGTTCAGAATCAGTTACCAAACGTGCTTTAGTAAGCATGGATACACAGGTGGAACCTGGATTCCATCACACATTAATCGAGTTCCGTATTTCTGCATTTGCATCATGACTGAATTTTTGTCTTGATTAAATATCATCTCCATTTGAATCAAATAGCATATTATCATCTTCAGTTACTTTTGCATTCAGCTCATCGATTTTGAGCTTCAACTTCGAAAGGTCATCAGCGTTGGTCTTGTCATGCTAGTGTCATGGAGCTTTGCGCTACAATTCCTTTCCATGAATCTCCCAGTAACAGTAGACACAGAAGCCAACATTTGGTTGTTTTCAAAGCCTTGCGAACTTTCCACCGGTGATTTCTTTTTAAATCACGAGACAGCGGCGAAAGCGTTCCTTGTAGGGACAAGTGGTCCTCAAGGATAAGTACAATTTTGGCAGAGTGCTATTGAGGAATTCAATATATTCAACCTTTTCGTCAGGGAATCACCGTAGGTATTCATTTTTCCGCTCCTAGGTTATTTATTTTCCATATCGATTATTTTGGTCATGAAATAACTGTTGAATAGGTGGAAGAGGATCAGATATTTTTTGGCGGGTGTCTGTGGAGTGTCAGGCATTATTACATGTATTAAATCCATTCCAGGAAGTGGAAGGGCCAAATCATTTAAGCCAAAAATTTGTTAAATGACCAGGCCCAACCCGCGCCCCCAATAAATAACGCACCTTTCCTAAAATGTTTTTGTTTCTATAAGTTAAAAGATCGCTAAGATCGATTATTATCAACGACTATAATCAGTTAATTACCTTCAGCATTCTTCAGCAATTTGGTCGGCCTCTGTCTGATGTCAGTCATTTTGGGTCGACTAGATAACTCCCTAGTGCAACACTGAATCATCAGCTCATATTCCACCTCGCTAATGCAGGACTCCTGAGGAATTACTTCTTTACCCTCCACAATCTTTAAATATACAAGCTCAAGTGTTACAATTGTTGTTATAACACCACTAGTTCATATAAAATTATGTTCACATAATCGTGCTTCGGCAAAACAATAAGTTGGAAAAGAGTGACCGCGGATGGGTACGGGTTGCTTAATGGGACGAACTTTGGCTTTGGTAAAGAAAAGGGGAGAAGAGGGAGAAGTAAACATGAGGGAGTTGGGGTTGTACGGGGGTGAGTTTTCACAAAAGTTTTAGCGTTTGGAGAATTCTGCACTCCCCTTTATGCTGCAACTAACTGAAACTCACTCAGCAAAGCCGTGAGACATAGCGCGCAGTGAAGGAAGTAGAACAATTTTTCAGACCTGGAAAGGTTTTTTGGTACGGTACAATTTTAACCTACCAATAAAACATGCAGTAACTTCATTTTAACGAAAATGGTTCACTGACTTTCCCTGATTCCATTATAGGGAAGAAAACGATCCTGTGTTTAGTTTAAATACCTGAAACTTAACGAAGTGCTAAAAAAATTCCTAAAAGCTGCGTGCTACTAAAAAAATAGGACCTTTCTTGTAGGTACAAAAACGTGACTGTGAGATATCGGCATATACTTGGAGCCGCATATTTACAAAAAAAATTTAAATAGCCTCGAAATCTCGCGACCGATTTTTCCCTTACCTCAGCAAAAAAACTTGGAACTCTAAAGCTTTACTGATATCTAAAAGTTTAAGTCAATCGTGAGCATCATGATACAAATCGCTGCACAAAATGCTAGTTAAACTTAAAATTAGAATACTCTACGGTAACACACAGAACACATTTGTGAAAGATGACGCACCAACAGCTAAAGAGTGCCGACGGAATATCTCCCATCTGAAACGTCGTGTTCTTACCCAAAGCTGAATTGCATGAAACTAAGTAATCACGAACCTGCGGCGAATAAGTTAGCACTACAAGAAGAACTACTTTATGCTGCATTTAGATCGAGATCAAAGATCAAACTTACTTTGAACATAGTTATGAAAGACTACAAACATCAAACATAAACAAAATGAGCCACAACGTATGCTATCTCCTCTAAGCGAGGCAAATGTATGTCGACACAAATCTCAGAATATCTCGCTTATTGGCTGTACAGGACACCCAACAGAAATTAGGGGTTGCGTTCTCGTACTTCGAACGCAATAACTGCATATGATATCTAGTTTATAACAATTTATAAAATAACTAAGATAGTAAGCGCGTTCTGATTGGTTAAAAACCTATGGTTTATTGTGCCGGTAAACTCATAGAAAACTTAAAGTTACTTTATAAAAGTAGCCTGCGTAGCTGGGGGTATTGTCTAGTAGTCGAGTGAGATTTGGCGGCGGAGCCGTTGTAATATAGTCGAGTGACTGGCGGTATTGTGTAGTAGTCGAGTGAGATTTGGCGGCGGAGCCGTTGTAATATAGTCGAGTGAGATTTGACGGCGGAGCCGTCACGAGCGGCGAAGCCTCGAGAAATACCGCCTGCCAGAATACCAGAATTTTTCGAATGCCGCCCACTTTTGTCACCTTAGCTGATCCCAATTAAATCAGCCAATCAAAGAGAAACCTGCAATTTGAAACTTCCGATTATTTTCGCGCGCGACAGTTTAGAAATAAGAGTTGACAGGCTAAACACGACTCCTAAGCTCCTGATAATGTGAAACGTGACCTTGTGAGTTTGCTTGAACAGAGGTTTTTTTTTTCTCGGCTCTCGCGCGAAGCTTACTAGCACTACACAGTGCATGTATCATTCTAAACTTTGACTGAGTAAATCTTTTTTTGCCACACTAGGCTTAACTTTAAAAGGTCATGAAGCTGGTTTGTTACATGCATACTGAGTGACCATTTCCTGTGGTTTATTCTTCTGTAGGTGTTCCCTGATAGGATTTGATCTCAGATGCAGTTGTATAGTGTTTTAATTTTCTTTGACCTTTGGTTCTTGCGGCTAAATAAAGACAATTCCAACGCTGTGAAGTTTAAAGACGCCATTTCGGCAATTTGGTCATCAATTATGCTCTTTTTAAAGGGGAAATAACAATCACTTACGTCTTTTCCAGTTTGCCATCTGCTCCCTTAATTGGGAAATATATGCGAAGGATCATCTAACATGATTAACATATGTATGGCCCTCGACCAATCCGTTTCTCTATACACCGGTGTGCGGACTATTCAAAATACCGGGGTTTTCTGGCAGGCGGTATTTCAACCGCCTCGTCCCTACTCCCTTTTTCTGGAACACGGCTCCGCCACCAAAACTTTAATCTCGCACCCACATAATACCACCAGCTACGCAGGCTATATAAAAGCAATAGACCACACTTTCTATGGGTTTAACGGCGTGATAACCTACTTGGGATGTTAGGACAACACCCGAAAAGTTTGTAAATTACTGGTCTTTGGCTCGTGATATACAAGCTTTTCCCGTGTTCTCCCAACATCCCGCGTGGGTATCACGCCGGTAAACCCATAGAAAGTGTGATCTATTGCTTAAAGAGTTAACTGTGTATTGTCTTTTTTCGTGGCACCCATTGTTATACTGCAAGACAAAGACTCGCCTGGAAATAGGCGGGTTTTTTAAACCTCGAATTTTCAAACGTAAAAGTATAGACCTTCTTCTTGAATCTGGTCGAAAAAATCGCAATGTATAGGGGAGATGTGTATTTAAAATAAACCGTTCTTTGATACGAACTTTTTCACTTATTTCGAAAAAAACCACTCTGAATTTTAATGCGGTATTTTCATTTCCCATACTAAAAGTCCCCAAAAAGCACAGTTTTGAAGCTAAAAGTCTACAAATTATTCTCGTCGGACTTTCTTGCTTTTTGCGTAGAATAGAAGATTAGCCCTTTAACTACACAAAGCAATTGACATTATAAAAGTAGACCAAAGGCATAATTCAAAATGGCAATTTTCGTGAGGCACCTTCGCCAAGTCCTCTTTTTTATCTCTTATCGTGGCGTTTTTGTGGAGCGTTCATGCTTCAATGGCCCACCGAGGTAGCTCATTATTATGCATAAATATCCGGCCATTCTGCGTTGTGTACAAACTTAAGAGCTCTGAGGCTTATATATTTGCTGAAGCTAGGGAAATCTGTCGTGGGATTTCGAGTCGGGTCCACCCATAAAAGATGTAGCTGTATATACCGCAAACAGGTTCAAAAATGAATAAGCTGGTTAATTTATGCAGTTTGTGCAAGTTTCAGTTCTTTACAACCAGTAACAGAGAAAATAACTGCAAAATTACTAGGTGGCAAAACGTTAATGAGCTCATACATTCTTTTAAATTTTAATTTTTTTCAAAGAGAATTTCTCCCAAGCTATTTGGTATATCGGGCTCAAACTTTCCGAGCTAACTAAAAATTGTTACGGTCTTTTAACATTGAGAAATTTCATTTTAGCTTCATCAAATAATGATAAGCCTGTGCTAATGAAACAACAAATGTAAACACTGCAAGGATTCACCTATACGGACATCTCATTATTACAGACAGTTTGCTTTGGTGCTGGAAAAAGAAAGCCTCTACATTTTCAACCCGCTTAATTCTAACACTTTCTATGATCCCCTCAATGTCCGTATAAACGGGGCTTGACTGTAGTACGAAAGCACCAGAGTTGAATCAGTTATTTCACGTTGCAATCCATTTCCGTTGATTGGTTATCGAGATCAGGAAAAAATACTCTTACAGTTTACGAAGAGTGATACATTTTTAATAAGACTGAACCGTAACTGGCTGTCTTTTGTGGTTGCCATGCGTTTTTGTGGTTTGAAAGAAAAGTGACATTTTTTGGTAATAAAATTCTCTTTTGCAATGTATACGTTAAGTGATTATATTCAGGAACTGACACTCTCTTTCCAGTTAGACTGATATAGGATTCTAATGCTTACTTGCAAAGATACTTGTTTGTCATCCAACAAATGACTGTAAGGGACACATCCACGAGTTAGTACTTCATACATGAGTACTCCAAAGGCCCAAACATCAGAGGCGGTGGAATACTGATGCTTTGTTAAGCATTCGGGTGATTTCCATCTAACTGGAAACTTCTCGTCATCGTTGGCGGTTATAAAACCTGGAAAGCATTGAATGTATTGATAAGTTGAAATATCATGGAACATGTCATGAGGTTATTCACAAGGGTGGCCATAGTTTGTTTACCGTTTGTCTCAATAAGCAGGCTCCTTACAGGGGCGGATCCAGAAAAAATCAGAAATGGGTGTCCGGGACACTTGCCAGGTATGGAGATACTTTTTATTTTTCTGAGAGTCCCATAAAAATAATACAAAATTTCAACGAAAATGAGGTGACCGCGGCCCCCCTGCCCACCCCTAAATTCGCCCTTGCTTTACACGCTGATTTCGACAAAGTTGCTTCTGCAGCATACTCGATCAGTGGTCTTTATCATCATATGATGGTTTTGCTTGGATTTGTACCTTAATAGTATTGCATGGTTTTACATGTAAGGGATGCTGAATATCGCTTCTTATGCCATTAGTAGGCGTTAGAACTACCTCTAAAGTTTGTAGTGGTATCGATAAGTCGTTTTGTTTCTTTAGAGGACTTAAGTTGAGGAATTTTGATTCCGTTATTCCTATTGCGATGCGATGTGATTAGTCTCTGGTCCCTCAAAAACTATTTCCATGTGCACTTAATGAGTGGTTGAGTGCTTATCGTAATAGATTTCACTTAAAAAAGGGACAATGGTAGTGAAGCACAGGTAACTACGATTGAAAAACGCGACAGTCATTTTGTACCACTCCGAACCTCAAGGCAGGATGCAAGACATTGGGCAACATATCACTATTCGTATAGTGAAATATATTACCCTCAGATAATGAATCAGCTGGCAATTTCTGTAGAGAGTGCAAACCACTTAATTTGCAGGTGAATGTTTCTCCTACAAGAACATTTTCTGCCATGACCACGCGGTGAACTAAACCCAATCTTTGTAGGTAAAGAAGGGCTTTGCTGATGTCGATGAGCATATTAAGAAGTTTTGTGGGCGACAGATTAGGTTTCTTTCCTCTGGACAGCCTGACAACCTGTAGCAGATCACCCCTCATTTCGAACTTGGTGATGAGATGGTACGGCAAGCTTTTCGTGTCGTGGCAAATAAGGACAGGAAAGTTCGGGTGTTGAGTTACGTTTAGTCGGCTCAAGGCGTAGGCTTCTCGATAAAGTTTGTCTCTAGCCTGGCATTTTGCATCTTCTTCCAACAAATGTTGCTTTTTGACTTTCAGAATCTTGACAGCGACCTATATAGGAATATTGGTATATACAAATATCACACTTGTTTTATCAGACAGGTAAAAATGTTCTTTGTTTATAAACGTTCTAACTGCTAAGTAAACTAACTATCGATAAACATTAATTCTTGGGTTCCTTGAGGCAAACCCAAATCGTAAGATGGACTTCGTCGACGGTGGACGAATCACCCGAAAAGCATTGCATTGCGTGTGCTGCTGCATACAAGTCCCGTCCTCCCTGCTTGGGGTCCAAAGTTTTGACTATTAAGTAAATTTGCGGGCGAACGTGACTTTTCTAATGTGTCACAGCAGGGACCAGCTCTTTAGAAGATTAAATAACTCATCAGCGGGCTTCCCTCACCACAAATTGCTCTCGGGTGTCAGGAGTTGGCGTCCATTTTGAAAATGCAATTAGAATATACGACTATAACACTTGTATTATCAGACAGGTAAAAATGTTCTTTTTATATAAACGTTCCAACCGTTCTATAAACATTAATTCTTGGGTTTCTTAAGGCAAAGCAAAATCGTAAAATGGGCTTCGTTGTCGGGGTCGCAACAAGACAAAATGGCGGACGAATCACCCTGAAGGCATTGCGTGTGTCGCTGCATACATGTCTCATCCTCCCTGCTTGGGGCCCGATGTTTTGATTATTAAGTAAATTTCAGGCGAACGTAACTTTTCCATGTGTGTCACAGCAGGAATCAGCTATGTGAAAGATTAAAGTACTGGTCAGCGAGCTTCCCTCTGCACATGCTCTCGGGCGTCAAGAGTTGGCGTCCATTTTGAAAATGCCTTACGGTTTAGGTAACTATTTGGCGTAGCTGACACCCGATGCAAATTTACGTCGTCTTTGAAGATTTTAATCGTCAAAAGGAATAAAATCTGGCTCACTTTCGATATTATATATCCTGATAATAATAAAGGAGTGCCAAGACTATGTCATTAAACATAAAAATAATTGTTCATATGAGTGATTTTATTCCAAATGCAGAGTCACGGCATTACCGTGGGTGAAATATGTCATGGCATTTCACTAAGAAATGTTTGGAGAACAAGGCGGCAAAGCTGTTCATAAAAAGGTGCATTTGTTTAAACGCAAAGGCAAAGAATGCTCTTTATGTTACGTTGCTATAGGATATAAAATACTGTATGGTACCTTCCTGGCCGCACAACCAAACATAACATGCCTGCGAGCAGGCTCACTTGGGCGAGTTCCGGGAGAAGGGACTTTTGCTCGCCCGATGGCGGCTCCGTCGCCAAAATTTTTTTCCGAACTAGCACAAGTGAGCCGGCTCGGAGGCTAAATATACAATTCTGGTTTGTGTTCATGTTCAGGGGCTTTACAGCTTACAAATTCCTCCACAGGCTTGTATATGCGAAACGCATATACAATCTCTTTGACATGTTGTTACACAGTCAGACTGATAAATGTTAGATCATGTCCCAGTGCTACATGTACAAGTACCTATTTAACCTGAAGACGCAACTACGGTTTCGATTTTATATGTTAGAATAAAGCTAAAAACGTTTTTAAAAAAATTCATTTCGGATGTCGCGAAGAATTTTCACGTAGAAAATACATATGTGCATACAAAGCCTTTTATATAGTTTGTCTGAATCACACGAGGGGGTCTACTGTCACAAAACCTATGTTAAGTAATAAAGAAGGGCTATTTACAGAGATTTTACAATGCCCTACAGAGATTTTACGGGGATGGAACAACTTAAGACAGTCTCTATAAAATTTACAAAGATTTTTCAGAGTTTTTACAATGCATGTAAGTCTATAAATTTCTCAATCTTCTCACTTTATTCCGCAGTTAAAATTTACAGACTTCTCATAACCATTATCGATATACATATATAAAATAACTTTATGAAATGTCTGCAAACATGATTTTACATACATTTTGTTTTCCTTTTGCACTCTCATAAAAAGTCTATAATTTTACAATTTATAACATTTTATTACTAACGTAATTCGTCACCTATGATATTAATAGGTAATCAAATGGTATACTCGTGAAATTAGGGAATAATTTCACTCGTGACCATTTGATTACACATACTAAAAAGTCCCATTTTTCCAGTGTATAATTTCAAAAATCATTTTGCTTTCCTATAGACTCCCTCATCACAATTAAAATATGGTAACGAGTCTATAAAAACGTAAAAAATGTATCAGTGATGGAAGCAATAAAAGGAAAGGAAATGAAAATGATATGTAATAATTTTTTAAACCAACAGGGTCACGCTCTATCTCCATGTAATAATGTATGCCGATGAGCATAGTTACCACTTTTTACAAAATTTCTTTTGAATAGAAAATAATAAACTGACATGTTGACATGCTACGGCGAGAGCGAAATAAACTCTCCTTGTTTACAAACTGAATCATAGAGTATTTTGCAACTTGCGCTTAGACTATCGTTTTCATTAATTTCTTACGTTCAAATGAAAATGCCGGCGTAACATATAAGAAGGATGGATGCAGCACAACAAAAAAAAATATAGCAATGTTCGCGTATACATGGTACACTTGCCGTATGTACGGTACCTCAAGTTTCCCACCCTATTATAGGCGTCATGTTACTTAAAGACCTAACAGGGAACTTGGTAAAGCTGTGTCGAGGAGGGTACAAAGTAGACGTGCGTGAATGATGGATTTAATTAAGCTACAAACTTAAGTAAAGAAGCTCTGATATTGATGTACTCTCGTGCCCTTACCGGTCCTCCTTGAAACATGCCAGTACTAACGAAAGAGCTCGTGCTTTGATGAATAGTTTTCGTGTTGATTTCCAGGGCTCGTGTTTTGTATTCCAAGACCAGACGTTCAGTATGTTGGTCAAGCGAAAGAACTTCATCCCAAGAAAGTAGATTGACCAGCTTTGTCCTATTTTCCTTGTCTGAGCAAAAGAAAACATCAGGAACTGCCCGCCTTAAAAGCACTCTACACTCTGGTGTTTTCTGCACTATTTCATCTCTAAGCATATTCAGTAAACAGTCACAAGCCTCCAATCTCACTTCTGTGCCAGAAAGGAAAATTCACAAATATCAAAACGAAGATCTTGTACAAAACTCTATCCTTACCTTGCATCTATGGTATTCCCAGTTAAACCCAAAAACGTTTACTACTTGTAGAAGAGAGGGATAGGATGACCGTTGTGGAATCATTTTGTAGCAAACAGAGAGAGAAGAGAATACAGTATTTTTATTATTATCAATATTTTTAGATGGTAAAACCGTCATTTGATATTACATATTGTAAAATCAGTGTGAATACATGTACCTATTTTTTTATTCTGACGGATAACGGTCGCAGCGATGAAGAAAAGTGAAACAGAATACTGTTGAGGTCGAATTTTGAGTTTGAATAGAATGGCTTACATTGATGATCACACTACCGTTGCCACTCGACAAGTCTTTGACATCTCTTTTTGGAAACTGGATGGGACTATGATCCCGAACCCTGAATTAAAATCCAGGAAGTGATTCCATTTTCCTACTTATATTAATTAATCTATACAGAATATGTATAGTTTATCAAACTTAGCATTTAAGATTAAATGTTAAAATATGTTACAATTAGATCTGTATAGTCTAGTGTATAGTGTAACTTTTTGTCCTATACTCATACGTTAGTTTACTTGATACTTCTAGTTTGTAATGTTTACACAGTGATCGTTTTTACTAAGCCACGGATCGGCCTTCTTTAAAATCTTCGAAACCACGGACCTCGTCGCTTTTAAAAGTGCGTTATCAAAGCACGGTTTTCCTAAAAGCAAACACCTTTTTCAACCTCAGTTTCAACCAGGAAGCATTATACACACCCTCACCAGCCTATCCAGCTTTGGTTTTTCAACAAGCTTAAAAGAACTGCTTTCTATGCAATTTTATTTCCGCTCGTCGTACCAAACTAATTCAAAAGAGACAAAACGATACAAAGGAACAGATATTACCTTTATTAACGCTGTTGTTCGTAATTTCAACGAAAATTGACGATGCCAGTAGGCAAAACCTCCAGTCGGCTCCACCTCCTTCCATTAAATATGCATCAGTTACCAGTTTAATGAGGTTCATAGCCCGTTTCCCGGTTTCTGAAGTTTCACTGTGCACCTAAAGAGATGGACAGGAATAAAGAAACAAATGAATGAATGAATAAACATAAATATATACATTAAGTAGCAATGAGCATTGCATAACCTTATTAAACAAACTGAGAAATTGAACAATACAAAAAACAAAGATATGTCAAATTTTAAAACAACTAAGACACAACAGCACACACGAGAAAACGGCAATAAACACCCTTTGCCGAAAAATCTAAAGTGAGAGCAAGGGAGCCTCGTTGGGTTACCCGGAAAGACCTGTGGAGGTAGACCATAATGTCTGTTCTTTTTCAACTTTCAAATTCACATAAAGCTATGAAATCTGTTCATCGGACTAAAAAACTAATTATTTATGAAAGAGGATGATACCACTTGAATGTCACACTCTCGATTAAACATTAGATTCTAATCCAACAGCGATGATTCATGTAAGATGTACTACTTTTTACTAATCTTAGAGGCAAAATAGCGTATTAAAATAATTTCTCGACACGAGGGAAAACTTTTAATAGATTAAATAAAAGATATAAGCATGAAGTGCGAAAATAGGCTTCAGCAAGTTTAATTTTCGATTATTATGTACTATTCGTCGCAGAAGTGACTTACCATTCCGTGTAGGTGAATCAGTATACAGTGCAAATTGAACCACTCATTTCTTTTAGTTGGTTGGAAACTCTTACTCTTCTCCTGATTAAGTTTCCGAAGGACATTTAAGTCCTCGCTTTTAATTTCTTTTTTTCCGCAAAACTCTTGACATTCATTCAGGGAGTCAATTAACTTTTTTGTCGCTGTTGATTTGTTGTGCAGTCTCAAAAGATGAGAGATGGTAGTTTGGATTAACTCCAGTGAGTAGCGAAAAACATCCTTTCTTTTGGTTCTCAAACGTTTTAGCTTTTCTTGCATCGTTTTCAGATCTTCTTTCCTGTCCACAACGAGCATCTTGTCTTGCAAGACTTGTTGCATTAGAGCTAACCATAAAATACGGCTGTACACAAAGAGTTTGAGGTTTTGCTCCGAATGTTCATCCTTGCTAAATAATCTCTCGGATGATAGAATCGAAGATCTAATAGTTTCTTCGACAACCATCAAGTTTTCGTTGCTGCTCCCAAAATTTTCTTTGCAGATCAGATGAAACAGCTGCTGCAATGCACGTCTGACAACTTTACCACTGTTTAAACTGCAAGTTAATTTTGCCAAAATTTTGCAGACTTCTTCGCGGTCATTTGAGGTTAAGCACTCTCCCCAGGATTTTTCAAGATCTGGAAGCACTGCACTCAAAATGAAAAATTCCCTCTGCTTCTTAACAATGCCAGTGGTCTTGTCCATCTCTTGAATGAACTGATCTGGGTTCTCCAGAAATGATTGAATTGTCCATATGTAATTTCCATCTACTGAGAATTTCAGAGTCGAAGTTAGAAAATAATCCCAACCCCTTGTCCCACATCAACTTAGCGAATCGTCCACTATGGCTCTATTAAGGCCGAGGCCAGTAATCTGAAGCCAAAAATGTTCTGCACCAGAGATTGTCTCACGCCGTTTGCATTGTTTCATAGCAACCACATTATCATAGGAACATTCAATGTTCATGCTTCATCACAACATCTTTGGCATCTAGCAAAATGATAACCAACAGTTGTTCTCAAATAATTTATTTGCTTCCTAATACAACTTTTTTTTTGGCAGGAGATATTACTATGCATCACAACCACAGCGAGATGCAAATTCTTTCAAGTCTGCTTGCAATTAACGAATCAACCACAGTGAGCTACAAAGTAAGCAGAATTTTTTTTAACATGTGCCACATTCGTAATTTCAGTGTAAAAATTTTAGAGTGATGACTACCGCTGAGCAAATGTTACACCCGTGATGGCCAAATTCCTTGAGAAAACACATTATCCCTCCTTTTGTAAGAAAGCCTTCGAGGGCCAATTTACCTACCGTTAACGTTGAGGGAGCATTTTCATTCTCGCGTTACTCCGAATACAACACAAAATACTCGCCGCTCTCGATAAACCTGACCTAACCTGTTACACTGTTTTTTGGACTTTGTAAGGGATATTGACTTGTTTAAGACAGGCTGCTATGGGTTGGAAACGGTTCCCCAGAATCTATCCTAACTTGACATTCAACTTTTAAAAACAATCTTGATATTGAAAGGGGCTTGGCCGAGTTGTTTACTCAGAAACGAATTTATCGCTAACCATTAAAAGGAGTCATCGGTCTGAAACAAATGTGTTGATAATGACTTAACCTTTCAGCCTTTTATAAAAATGTTCAGCCATGTTGCTTCCTGTTACCTACTTACCATCATTAACAAGGACTCCTTTTTCAGGGCGTGGCCTCCACACATGCTCTCTTTCTTCTGCCTGTTGGTTGAATTCCTTTTGACTCACATGGAAGTGTTCCTCATCGCCTTGAAGCAAATTTTCTTTCGAAACTGGAGGCTGTGTTGTGCAATTTTGAGTGTCGTTAGCAGCTACAGAATAAACAGACGAAAAAAGTTTTTAATTGTTATGCTGGCAATATACTAACCGTGACAAGCATCAAAGAAACGCCGAGATCAGAGGTACGTTTGAAGGTCTCGTGACCCAGTGATTTTGTAGGCATACCTTCTAACTTTGAACCGCCTAGACCTAAACAGCTTGATCTTTATTGTAAATTTATTGTAACACTTTGATTGCAAACCGACTGAATTACATTATGGTATCAGTTTATACGAGATCGGAGTGGAAGTCAAGTGAGAATGACGTCACACGTGTTTTAGCTCTAAATCGATCTCATTTTCTCTGAAAATGCTCTACGCTACGAGAGCTAAGAGCTATAATGTTTGTAACATTGTTCTGTTAAAAGCGGAATAAAGTGTTGTTGTTATACCGGTCCAAAATCAGACATAATCAGAGGCTTTATTGAAAATTGGACTACTACTACTATGTTATTGGCAATAATCTCTAGATCTGGTGCACGTCTGTAAATGTTAACCAGGCTAACGAGCCCTTTCATTTCAACAAGGAATCCCATTAGGCTCGGGGGCGCTGTGACTCCTCCAAGAGGGTCTCAATGGGGTAGTGGCTTTTACGGTTATCGGCTAAAATTTTGGCTTTTTTACGGTTATCGGTTAATTTTTTTCAGTTACGGTTAACAAAAAAGTTAAAAATTAACTTCTTTTGTTTCAAAAAGTTAAATATTAATTAACCTGTATCTTTTTGTATCTTTAAAGCAAAATATAGGTCTTAGGATCATCTCGGGATGAAATAAGCTATTCTTTTGAAAAACTTTAACATTTGATAGATCATACTTTTTATAAAGTATTCCACTTCTAATACTATTTTACACATAGAAATGTCAATAGTCAATTTAAAAATAATCTTTGTGAAAAGGCAAAGCACAAACGCGAACGCCCAACTCAAGGCCGGGGCGCGACATTCATTACAACAGAAGTGGCCGTTTTCACACTAGAGACGGATTATTCGTGTGAGATGGGTTATCCGTTTGATGATTCGCGTCAGATAGGTAATACGTCTTAATTTGAAAATGGAATAGCTTTAATTTTGAATGAACAATCCGCCTGACCTTATCCGTCAATTTCGAAGGAAAGTTTGAAGACGGGATTATCCGTTCCAGATAGCTTGTGTACAGCCGCCCCCTTCCCTCAGAAAAAATCGGAGAAGGGGTGTCTGTCGGGAAGGGGGCGACTGAACACAGGCTAGTCTCAGACGGATAATCCATTTCTAGCTCTAGTGTGAAAACGGCCAATAACAAAATTCCCGTGTCCAGTGTTTTTAATGATAGCGAAGGACTGTACGGAACCACTGTCAGCCGTTGCCTTGTCCGTAGGCCTCATTATTTCGCGCGCCTAATACGTTTCGGGTCACGTGGTCCCAGCGAGTTCGCCACCGAAATGCCTTGACCGAGATTGCGTGGGAAGAGGCCGTACAAGGACTAGGCCTGGCCATGTCTACCGTAGCGTCAGAGAAAAACAGGAACATGTTGTTTATCGGCAACGTGTTTTACAAATAGTGACATCTCTGCGTGTTGTTTCACTAGTAGGGAGTTTACGCAAAGACAACGACGAAGGCAACGAGAACGTCAAACAAGCAATAGGTTTAGACAAGCAAAACAACAACTTTGCACGTGCAGCACGCTTTTTTGTAAATTTCTCTGCTGTCGTTGCACGACTGCAACGTGAACTGACTGCCTAATTTCATGTTTTGTTGAGGACGGGAACAAAAGACAACAACTTTCTTTTTCTTTTCCTGAACTTTGATACAGTCCTTCAGAATTCAACTCCAAAACAATTTGCCAACACTTGACGAATTAAACGAGATGGAATAAGCGCGATAAAGTTTGAGGCAGCGCAAATTCACTTTTTAAGTGACGATTTCGTGGCCGTCGCCGTCCTCGTCGTTGCGTAAACTCCCTAGTTCGAGGGCACGACCTCCTGAAAATCGCAAATATTAATCCCCAGCAAGAAGCCACACTTTCGCTCTGGAAACTAGCCGGGAAATAAAAAACGCAACCATAAGTGAGTTTAGTACCTTCCTTAAAGGTAGCAAATTTAGGGAACAATTTCTTTTACGGTTAACTCTTTTTTTTACCCTATTTACGGCTAACGGTTAAAATTTTTCAATTTTTACCGTTATCGACTAAATTTTTGGCCGTTTTACGCCTATCGGTTAACCACATTGAGACCTTCCTCCAAAGGTACTCTGCTAAATACGGTTAAAGCCAGCACTATATATCACCTTTCAGAACAGTTCTTACTGCAGACCCACGAGATCATGGAACTCCTTACCATACCAACTCCGAAAAATAATACTGACTCGTCAGTGGGCTGCTTGAAGAAAGACATTTTAATTACAACTTGGATTTCGCTAAGACTGTTTATGATGTTTGCACCCCAGACCTATAACAGTGTGTGTATCAAGTGCCACAATAGCCGGCCATTTGGCCGCCAACTTGCATTGATTCTTATTATTCTCTTTGTCATTTGATTATTTTGCATCTACCTATACGTTGTCAACATATTTTTCATTAGAAGTAGTAAGTGTCCTGAAGTGGTGGAGCATTATTTCTCTGCGAGCGTTGCGGGCCTTTTGGCGAAGCAAAATGAATAAATATATGAATAAAGTTAAGTCAAAATTAACGCTCCATGAAATTAACGTGAATCGTTAAAATTCGCGTTAATTTAAGTCGCGTTAATTTTGTTGAGCGTTAATTTCCGCGACGTTAATTACGTGCAGCGTTAATTTCCGCGCTCTTAATTTCCAGTATTTTAACCTCAATTTTGGAACCTGTCCAGACATTCTTGACACCTAAAAAACATTAACTAAGGCGAACGTTTACAATATTTCTCCAACCACTTGATCTCTCAACAAATGGAGCTGTCAAAAACATGGAGAAACGTGCATTTAGTGTATATTTCACATCGTGTATCAAGGATGAAATGCTACGTAACCCCGGGAAAGATGTTACAACAATTGAAATTGACTCAAAGTTATCAACCTTGAAGCCCCGCAACGGCAAGCTAATGAAAGAAATCTACGAATAGCTTTTAACAGATAAAGGAAAGGGCATTATTTTATCGGGGTGGAGATCGGCCGGTATCATGGACTGCGTGAAAAACGCTAGAAATGGCCAGATTCCGTCGAGTAACCCCCTACGTTTAGAATTTTGCGTACTGTTGTGTCGAGCACATGGCTCAGTTTTGTTCAGTTTTGAATTTTTTTGCATCCAGTATTGAAATAAATTTGTTCCAGTTGTCACTAACAACTGTGTCTTAATCGCGTTAATTTCCTTTATTATGAAATTCTACCTCCTCTTTCGCGTTAATTTTCTTTATTCGAAAGTCGTTTTCCATTAAATTCGCGTTAATTTCCAGTACCTCAATTTCATGGAGCGTTAATTTCCTATAATAACGTATAATGCATGAGTTATAATGGATTTACAATACGATTTGCTATAGATGGCTCATGGCAAGAAATTGTGCCTACAAAAATACTGGCTCGAACGACGTGGCCGAGTTTCTATAACCGACTTCAGTTAACTGTCTGGGAATCGGAGGAAGCCGAGTGTAACGTGAATGATGTTATATTGCTTTTCAGTGATTCACGGTAGTTTCTTCCTTTACTAAGTTCGAGAGTGCAGTTTGGAAACCTGGAAGTGAAAGTAAAAACCCAAAGAGTCAACTGTGCGCTCTTGGACAACTTCTTAACAAATAATTTCTCGTTTTAAGTTCGCAGCTACCAAAAACACTTTTCTCCGTCACCTTGTTTAGAGACGCTGTTTTCTGAAGCGTCTCCTCTCTCTCCGCCCGAAACTGGTCGTTGTGTTGAATTAATGTTATCACCTAAAACGAAAACAGAATAAAGTTGCTTTAAAATGAAGGGAAAATTGGCAGCGAACTAAACCTACATCTGGATAGATAACGAAATGAGTAATTAGCCCCAAAACCAGGTAATTTTCTATTTAAATATTTTTTGAGATTTAACGGCTTTTGTTGGGTTTCCTGTGCATTTTACCAAATTACCAAAGATTTTCTACAGCATCTCAACACTCAACAACCAACTATCCGTTTTACAAAGGAGACTGAGAATGAAACACAATTCCCTTTCTTGACACATTGGTCATAAAAGCCTCAGAAGGACGCCTCACTGCAAGTATTTACAGAAAACCTACGCACACTGATCAGTACCTGTCTTATGACTCACACCACCCTCAATCAGTTAAACGCGGTGTTGTCAAGTGCTTATACGATCGATCAAAAAATATCAATAAACCATCGGTTATCTCTGTGGAAAAGAAACATTTAGCCTCCTTCCTTGTCTCTAACGGATACCCCTATTCGTTTGTAACTAGCATCACAAATACAAGAACCGGCAGACATCTGATAAAGAACCCACAACCCACAGCGGTTCTGCCATACATCAAAGGTTTATCTGAACCACTTCGTCGTTGCCTACAACAGCATGGCGTACGATCTGTTTTGCAAGCCCGACACAACACTGAGATCGCACTTATTACGACCTAAGGATCCTATTAATGCACGAAAACAAGATGGAGTGGGTAGGAAAGAGGAAGGGGCCTTTTGCTTGCCCATGCTACCCTCATTTACAAGTCACACCGTTTTTTCAAGTCACACATCGGTTCAAGAACTTACTGAAAGGTTTAGTAGGCACGTTGTACACAAACTTGCGAAGTTGCGGAACAAAATAGCCAGCTGCCCTGCTCAGCGTTCTCTGACAGTTTCAGGCTCTCGACACCCAGTACGAAGCTTCTAAATACAAACCTTAAGTGTCGAGGGACCTGTCAGGGCGGTTTTGAAATTTTTGTAGTTTATCGTTCAAAGTTTGGCCAAGACCATCTGAGACATTACAGCAGTACATAAAATGAGTTTCAATTAAGGCCTGATAGATTTTTGCGCACGTGAGTGTGTGTTGATAAATGGTCTCGCATGCTTCAAGGCGCCAATTCCTGAGGA